AGGCATTTATAGTTTTTAGTAGAAACGAAATCATTATTATAGTTATCCAATCCGCACACAGGAGATTATTAGCATTGTCCAGTAGGGATTCCAGTAGTGATTCTAGAATATTCTTCCCAAAGCTGATTGGATGGAATATGTTCGGCTTCTTCTGGGCTTCTTAGAGCTTCCTCAACTTCACCTGTGGACCGTCCTCACATAAACCCACTCTGATCTAGTATATGTCAGACTATTTACTGTTATGGATATTCACAATTTCACTGTAATTAAAAACATGTAAGTCTTTTTTCAATATACACATACTGTTATATTTCGAACTTAGATTCTTAGTATGTCGCGTAATACTTGAGCACTCAAACGCTAGAACCCTCCCAAGTCACAAAATAAGAAGACAGAAGACTAGTAAGTAGGAATGTTATTCTCGCAATGATGTCTAATATAATACAAAAATCTCATGTGTTTATAGTTTTTTGGCTGAAAGTAAATCATCATTTCGGATAGCCAATAGGCAAATAGGGAATTCTTTCTTATTCAACAAATAGGAAAGTCATACGTCAACATTCTAGAATGTCTCCCTAGCGGTGATTGGATGGAATGTCTTCGGCTCATTATGGGCTTTTCGAGGTTTCCATGAGTTTCACAACGAGCCATCCTAACACATAAAGAATGTGAATTTTTCTTCTTCACATCCTTCACTTTCAAATATGAATTTCGATTATTCCATTATTTGAACAAAAGGTTTGATTTGAAAAACAAACAAACAACAACAACACTGTATCAAATGAATATTTAGTGTGTCTTCATTGATGATTTTGTGTAACGAAATACAGATAAACGAATAAGTAAATAATTTCAAAATTAAAAAAAATGTAAAAAAAGTAAAAATGACCTAAAATACAGATAATGAAAATTTGATTTATAAAGTGAAAAGTTAATTAGATTCTGATAAATTATATGAAACTCAGTGAAAAATGTAAACAATTAGATTGAGTTGAAACAAAAATGTACTAAATATAGAAATATTTTTCGCCAAACTATTTTAAGCAAAAATTATTTTCATAGTTGAAAGCGTGAGTCAATTGAAGTTAGACCATCAGAGGAAATCTGGAGGCAATGGACCGCCGTTTCGTCCTATTGTGGGACTCCTCAGCAGTGCTCATCCACGACCTCCCCTCGCGAGATTCGAGGAGTCCCACAATAGGACGAAACGGCCGTCCATTACTTCCAGATTTTCCTTGATGATCTAGCTTCAATTGACTCACGCTTTCAACTATGAAAATACTAAATCTCCACAAACAAAACCCTTTCTGATAAAAATGATGTGTTTTTAATCTTAACAAAACATGATTGTTCAGAGAAAAAATTCAGAGTTCTATGTTTTTAATGTGACAAAAAATGGAAAGATAGATTATAGTGCTGTGAAGGAAATGATTATAGATTTGATTTACTTTTTGATTGTGCTATAACGAGGTAGTTTTAGATAATGTACTTTTAATATCAACGACAGTGATAAGTAATAAGAATAATGTTAAATGAAGTGTGTAGTAGTCTATAGGTAAAATCCTTAAAAAGATACCTATAGATCGTAGTTTCGTTACCTGGAAAGGTCATTGGTGTACACTGATGAGAATTCTTAAACTAGGAGGGAACAGATATTTAGTGATTCTTGACTTTTAATGATTCTCAAGCTGATGTAGTACCGTTATGAAAACTTTTGAATATTTATTAATTTGGACTGGAATTCAGTGACTTTCCCATTCAGGGTTTTCTAACATTATTATTCACTGGTAAAATGAAGGAAGTAAAAACAAACTCAGAAAATCTTTTAGGTGATTCAGATAAGGGCTAATATTGTGCCATAGTTAGTAATAACAGTGTTATTTGTCTAAAATCAACACAATTTTACTAAATATGACACCTGGACTGACATTGCAATCTGTTCTCTTGAAAATGTGAACTTAACAAAAACCATACAAATGTGAAACCAACGGTACTTCTAAATGGGAATGGCTATCTTTATATACACCACAGTAAATTATCAACTGTGGTATTGTTAAATAAACAAAAGTTTAATGGGTTAAAACTAATAGTTTTGGAGAAGATTACACAGCCAATTAAATAAGAATATGTAAAATACATTTTAAAATGTTGTACATTGAATTCGATAGAAACAACCATGAGTTGATTTAATGGATTTTCTGTTCATCATACATAAACATTAGATATTGATGTAGCTTTCTATATATGACCAGTAATTCGATAAGAACATAGAGTTAATCACTTTAAATGAATATTGTGTCAACATACTTACGGTTAACGTTCAGAAGACAGCATAAAAAAGCCAGAATTTTTGTTGTAAATGTACTTTTGATCAATTAATTTAGGTTCATTAGAAAATTTAACTTACTTACGCCTGTTACCACCGATTGAGATTCCATGTAGGGAATTGCCTTGTGAAGCATTTGGTGATTTCCTCAATGTGTGTCCTATCCACTTGCAGCGCTTCTTCATGATTTCTTCCTCCGCTTGAATCTGGTTTGTTCTCTCCCACAGTAGGTTGTTGATGATAATGTCTGACCAACGGATCCGACGTATTTAGCGTAGACAAATGTTAATAAACATTTTTGTCCTCTGGATGATGTCTTTCGTAGTTCTCCAAGTTTCCGCCCCATACAGTAGAACTCCGCCTGGAGCCTCTCTAGAGCTACTGACGGTCCAAAGCCTGGATAAAGGAGGAGGGTTGAGCATGGAGTTAGCGACCACATCGTGTAGAAAACTAACTCGCTAAAAAACGCTAACCAGAAAAAAACCCAACTGATACGATGTAACAGACTAATAGTCAATAACTTGAACTTCATGACTTATTGCTATTAAATAACTTGTTTCAGCAAAATCACTTAATAGTACATTTTAACCAAAAGAAACGACTTAGTGAAAAAACAGAAAACTTTCAGATAATACCTGGAAGATTGCAGCACCTTTGTCAAACACGTAACAGTCAAATGATACGAGATGTTATCAACAGTTTCAGTTCATGTAAACAAACGCAACTCCGAATAAAATAATATCGGAAGTTTAAAAGCATGTTAATATTGTATCGGTTCATCAATATAATCTTATTTATAAAAATAGAAGCGTTCTTCTGACATTCAGAAAGGAATTTTTTCAGGCATCTCAGATTTAACCTTCAATACATAATAATGGAAAGTATAATTGTACAGTAAAACTGTAAGATATCAAGTGATGGATAAGAGTAGAGAATAATGAAATGTAAACTAGTACAGAGGAAACAGATTGCCTGAAAACACTTGATTCATAATGAATAAAGTTTTATGTAAAAGTGATTGTTGTATTACGTAGGACATCCTGGATCTAGATTTCTGCGCAGTTGCAACTTTTTGGTGAATTCCGACGTCTGTGAATCAAAAATCCACGAATTAATGCAATTTTTCTCTGTTTATTTTAAATCGAAGGGTGAGGAACAAAATTTCAGATTACTTAGAGAAGTGATTTTATTAAAAAATTGATTCATAGAACCTAATCAGTATTAAGGATGACCTCATGTAACACAAGTTACCGTTTAGTGACTGACTAATGTGAGTACATTTTAAAACAAGTTCTGGATATATTAATGGTTACGTTACAGAGAGCAACTGTACAGATACTTTTAAAATGATAGACCAACTGACCATAGCAACTGAATCTGTGTGGAAGCGTTTTAGAAAATTAGGTGAATTTAATGCAAGAAATCACACAACATTAAATGATTGATTCACACTGACTTGAAAATCAATAACAAACAGTATAACTAGGGTGTTTTTTCCGACTGTTATTTGAATTACACGGATGTTCCCTGTCTGGTATAATCACAGAGTGATTAAGTTTGCTTGTTCATTGTCTAATTATACAGATTTGAAAGCGTGAGTCAGTTGAAGCTAGACCACCAGGGAAAACCTGAAAGTACTGGACGGCCGTTTCGTTTTATTGTGGGACTCCTCAGCAGTGTGCATTTACGACCTCGCCTCGCGAGATTCGAACCCAGGACCTACCAGTCCCACTCCAGAGCACTTAACCGATAGACCACTGAGCCGGCATCCGATGGTGTTTATGTCTAACTCCAACCAATCCACAAGGTTGAGCAACCGTTCATAAATTGTCTTCAGTGAGTTTCTATCTCACAACAGACGTGGTTTGAAGTCCACTGGTCACTGCTTCTCATTAGAACTCCTGGATTTACCTCTTGAAGTCAGTCACTAGGACAAAACGGCCGTCCAGTGCTTCCAGGTTTTCCCTGGTGGTTTAGCTTCAATGGACTCATGCTTTCAAATATGAAAATACTAAATCTCCACAGAACCCCTTCTGATAATTATACAGAGTTAGTTTTAGGTGAATTAACAGTAATTAATCTGAAATACTAATGGTAGATAATGTAATATTTAAAAAAAATAATAGATGAAAGTATCAATACATGACAATAATGAGCCAAACTTATCAATTCATCTGTTAACTGATTGATTACTTGCGATATCCAACTTCTAATTAAGTCTCAATTTCACTTTGAATAAAATTGCTTAAGTTAGTTTGGTTATTTAATCTTTATTGTACATTCCAAAGATTTCATTGTTGAAATAGACATAATTAAATATTAAACAATCTATAATCATCAGTGAACAGAAAAACAGGCTTAAGTATATTATTAATTAGATAGTGAATAATACAAACGGAAAGAGACGGAAAATTATAGACAAATAACGGGTGTGAAAATAATGCAAATGATAACAAAATTAAAAATAAAATAATAATGTCATTTGTTAAGTTACATCCGGCCATGGAAGAGATAGGGGGTTACAAATTTCGTCTGTACACATCAATTGGGGTGGAATGTACGAATCCCTATGGCTTCAGCTATAAGAAGGGGACGGGTACGAACTCCGTCGGGAAATGATGGAGGTATACGATAGATCACTCGAAATGATTTCGATTTATCTACATTATGACCACTATCAATTAGATGTGCCAAGATAAAACTGCGTATTGTTTTTATCTGGTCGTTCCCAAACCATGCTGGTAGACGTTCAATCATTTGTGAAGTGTATTATTGAATAAGTAATTTATAGAGTTGATTCCAAACTCAGATCACTATGTGGTTTATTTATTAAATAAATAATTAGTGTACACCCTTACCAAAAGTAGTGCGATTCTGGGTCAGATATAACTTTATTTTGATCACAATACCGATAACAGTGATGATTGAAATTTCTGTTAAGCGAAAGCTATTCAGTTCTATCTTATTCTGCAGAATTCGTCTTTCTTGTTCAGTTTCCTGATTCCTTTCTTTTTTTTACTAATTTGCTCCTCATAATCTTGATCAAGTTCAGATAAAAGTAACATAGCTTGCTTTCACGCGAAGTTCAGAAACACTAATTTGTCGTACTAGAACTTACCGTTGTTTTTCATACATTCAGAAATCTGTTCGATGAAGTTTTATTTCGATTGAACGATTTGTTACTTAACTCGAAGGCCAAACGACTCGTTTCAAATAAATTTATCATTTGAAGACTTAATTGTTATCATTCTCAAATTAGTTACAACATGAGTTGTATAGTACTTTATATCTCAATTGTTTTGATTTTTAAAGTTTTTCTCACTAATTTCATTTGACTCTTGAAGTTGATGACTTCTTGATCGTTTTAAGGCAGTGTGATGACAGAACAAGTGTAAGTACATTATCTTTAGTAACATCACACTTTTATTGATTCACGATCTATACATCCAATCAACTCCTTGCAATTCAGTTTACCTGTGACTGAGGATATCTAAAGTATATTTTAGAACAGTAATAGTTGTCAGTTATATTAACTAGGTAAAGGTCTAGGATTTTCCAAAAAAATAAGTGGAGGTTTTTTCGATTATTTAGAAATGAAATAGACACAAAATTTCGGGACAGAATGTAAGTGCAACTACACGTCACTCAATCTATATCGCTTACTATTTCATTGTTTGAAATTCATTTTCGAATATATGATAAAGTATCAATATACACTAGCTAAAATAACAGAGGAGTAAGCTATTAAATTTTTCATTTTTACGGATTTGTCAATTCGAACGCTATGTCTATTTTGATGGTGAACAGCTTTTAACGTCAATATTGAAAATATGCACAGTTATTTGTACGAACATTCGTCTATATTAAAAAGAATGGTTTGACGAAAATCGGGCGCCGTGTATAGAGAAGACATCATTTATGAATATTATATTTGAAATAGCTTCAGCCGTTGAATTGATCACTGAAGTCGAGACCTTATAAAAACTGAATTTTCTTATCAATAATAAATAGTGCGCGGTAAAATTTTGAGGATACTTCAAAAGAAGACTGAGAAAAATATCATCTGTATTTCATGCTTTATTCTAAAATACTATGTTGGGTGCATATTGTACACTCTCAATCTTCGATCATCATTATTATTTGTAACTATTTTACAAAATGAACAGGCCTATAGTACTTTTTAAACAATGCCGTACTAATTTGTTTACGCTTTTTCGACTGTCTAAATTCAAATACTTAACGATTGTCGAAAATCGATTTATAGTAAGAATTTGGCTGGTCTATTTTATGAAACATTCACTACTCACTTATTGAATAATCCTGTCAAATTACAAAAAAAATTGAATAGGACATACTGTCTGACCGAAAATAAGATGATCAGATACAAATACTATTTCTTAGACATCATAGTTTAACACCAATTACATAAGGAAACAAAACGTGAGTATGATGTAATTTGTTAACTTCTGATTTAAGTAAGTTTGATAACGTTATTGATATAAGACATTCATAGGTATATGACATTTTATTAGTACAAATTATTTGTCCACCTGATTCCACTACAAGGAATATATATTAAAAAAAATTGATGCCATTGAATTGAGGGAATTCGGCGGACAGAAACGGGAATTCAAATTCACATAGCATTAATTGTACACAAAGATTTCGATGAATTAAAATAATCTTAATAATTCTTGATATATGACTGACACCATTTAGTCTGAAGTGAGGATCGAATAACATGGCAGTGAATATCTACTCAACTCCGTCTGCAGCTCCTGCGGGGGCTAATGCCAGTCCCAAGCCCGAATAAGGGAGGAGGGTTGTGCGTGGGGTTAGCGACCCCATCCTGTAGAAAACCAACTCGCCAAAAAAACTCTAACCAGAATGTCTACCCACTGGTACCTTACGACTTGGTTTTATGCAAGTAGTCTTAATTCACACTGACTAAGCAAATTTACTAATCTCATCATAAATTAGTTTTATAGTATTCAGAAAAATGAGCAAGTTATTCGTAAAACACATCTGAAATGTGTGATTTCGAAAATCAAGACAAATAATATGAAATTACCGAACTTATCGTAAAATCAGCATCAAACACACCAATTTTCCTCAAGTAAATAACCGAACAAATGGGGAAAACGATTAATAGGAAGAAGAAATATTTCTTTCTTCTGTTTATATTTTTTACTAATTGTGTGAATGGAAATTTTCACTTAACTAAATGAGAAGAAAGCTAAAATATTCATGCTAAGAAGGAAGTTTCAAGTGTGTATAGTTAGAAATTAACGTAAACAAATTATGCGGATTGGTAAAAAGGAAACTTCAAGGAACACTGTAAATCGAAAAAAAAACTTATGAGCCAATTTATTGGAACAAAAAAGTTTAGTAAAATGACTGAGAAAAAATTACTACTGATATTTCCTTTCAAATACTTATTATTAGTAAGTCTTATAATATAAAGAATACAACTAGGTAATGCGATGCCGAATTCAGAAAATAGATTTAATGATTTAAGAGGTTCGAAAATTTGGTTGCTTTGATAATTTTGGACAAAAAATGTGTAGAATTAGATCAGTTGATTCCATATGACTACTTTTTATCAGTTGAAAAGTTTAGTTACGATGAATAACACGATAGGAAACAGAGTGGACTTATCTCAGTTCATGAATTTGAGATGAATGTTCAAAAACCTGGTAGAATATACTCAACTCTGCATAGTTGGGTTATTTTCACAAGTCTCCGGTGTGTAGTTTATTAAATAATGTAATGTAACTACCAACTCACTTGACCCACAGTGTAGTACTAAACGTTTGTAGGGAAGTAAATATCAGTTATGGCTAGCAGTATAATTCAGAATGCATTTTGCCCTATTGGAGGCTCGTCAGCCGGATATGCCTATCTCCGAGACTCAAACCCAACGCACTATCCACTGATTCTCGTTAACCACCAGGTTGTGTATCAGAGCTTGAAGTCATTAAATTTTAGTCTAAGCCATGTTGGCAGGCGCAGACTACTTGGTTGGGGTCCGCGCGACTATCGTAACCAATGGTCGGAGACTCTAGGTGACATGGCTCAGAATCGATCACGATGGCATATGTGTATACACTCTTTATCTTCCTTTAAACCGTGAGATTAAAATTGCTTCATATCTGAATTTCTTCCTTTACTATATCCTTATATACAACCTTTATTTTATATATTACCACCACTAAATTAACTACTTCTATGAATTCGGTATTCATTTTGTTGTGCTAATGATGTATGGCAACTTGGACCGATGCATTTATGTGCCTGGTTCTACGTTGAAGCTAACTAATTAATAACCAACTGTGCAACTGCAGTCAATTTCATTTTTTAATAGTTTGAATCTTCCTTTAATATTAAGGATTGAACTTTGATCAATCTCATTTCGAAATACATGCATCCTGAGGGGATTGTCTCGGTATTTCCACTAGGTCAAAGAAAAGGAAACGCATGTTACGGATCCCACTGCTAACCACTATCAGTCTATACTGAAATACTAGTGACCTAATAGTCATATCAAGGCGATCTATACAGGCGGTACATATACCAGAAAGAAACTGATTCAATTCTTAACTTCAACAGGAAGATTGAAAAACTTAAAAATAAATATTTAATCCACAAAGTTCTAAAATACGTAGGCACCAAATGATCTTTCTAACTCACCAGAAGAAAATTGTGATTTTCGAAAAAACGTGTGTCGGTCTGCACCAAGGTGTATGCAGCATTAATGAAACAGTGACTCAACTCATTTATGGCAACAGACAATACACATCAGTCAGTAAGTAAAAATACGCTTAGTATATATTTAAAATCCAAATTGGTTTATTGATACATTAATGTTGAGGGTTATCGAGTGAAGATTATAAATTGATCAAAAATATAATAATCAATCAAACTATGAAACTTCAAATAGAACAATTAAAGATGTAAGTCTCTTAATATGTAACACTTAAGAATCCTTCTCAATGAATACGTGACTACATAGTTTCACAATTCACCTTATCTAGTTCGAATTTAGAAGAAAAATTACAGTTAACATTTACACATAACTCATGGTCAGAACACACACATAGACGATTTTTGTAAAACTATCAACTAAAAAAATCGAAGAAATAAGTCCTCAAACAATCAGACTAAATGGTACGAGGAACCAATTTCCAAGTAAACCTACTATTACGTATCATAAGAAGAGGAAGTTTTTGTGGAATAAATGAAATATAGCTAGCAGTGCGATCCAGGATGTTTGTCTCGTTCTGTTTCTGATTCATCAACTGAATGTATCCGAATCTCAAAAACGATGTTTACTGGGTAAACTTTGAGATACAGGTACATCCAACTAACGAATCTAAAATAGGACAAAACGCACACTCTAGATTCCATTGCTGGTCACATTCGATTTATTTTACATAAACTTGTGACATATTGACTACATTGAGGTAATCTGAATATGGTAAACATATGACAACTAAGACCGATCAAAATTCAGTCAAAAGTATCACAGGATGGATAAATAAAACCCATTGCAAACTAAATTAAAAACAAGGTATCAGAGAGGAGTAATCATGTTATTTAATAAATTAGTTACATTCATTGATTATAACAAATATTTATCATCGTTTTTGCGTTCTTCCTTCAGTCAATACATATTGGTCTTTGTTCAGTTATAACACTATACATTAATTTGAATAAATATACATATAATATTAATAATAAAATGTACCCCAATTCAACTCCATACACCAACTATATACACAATAAGAGAATAGCAGTAATATCTTGGGTAACTTACGCAACTAATACGAAAATATAAAAAAAACAAAAAAAGCGCCAAACGCAAACACATATTGACATACACATACAGAAATAGATATGAAAGGATTAAAATCAAATGATCAGTGAAAAGAGACAACAAACAAACTAGTGGACAAGAAATAATTAGAAATTAAAATTTATAGTTTCTTTTTCAGAGAAAAAGATTTAATAGTGCATCTTGAAGAAATTTACACTTGCACATAATCTCTTCGTATAATAATGATAATAAATTTATAATAATAATTAGGTGTATGCTATATCGTTGGTAGCATATGGTGGTTCGTCAATAAGTTGTCGACAATTCTGTGAAGTTGAATTGAAATTCGACGAAGATGTCAATGTTTCCAAATTTTGTCTAGCTTTTAGACGACGTGTACGATTACTTCGTTGATCTAAATCTTTAAGATATTGTTTAGCTAAACGCCATGCTTCCAATATTTGATGCATACGCTCTTGTAAAACCTACAAAAGTGGGACAGAGGGTAGAAGCAAACTTATGATTAGTAAAAAAACGATAAAATTTTTAACAAGTCTCACTCAATAGTGTTTATATATATATAAGATAACTAACAAACAGATAGGCGTTCACAGACGTGTGTTGATCCAAGTTGCCACACTACATTAGCACAACAAGATGAATGTAATACGATGAATCGCAGAAGGTACTGAAATACTGTAGTAGTGATGATGATAAGACTAAACACTGAGAACATGGCTTGTGTTGGAGGAGTCTTAAAAATATACCTCTATGAGGCCCAGAAAACTTGTTAGTCAATCAGCGTTGAATAGAATCTTCGCAAAAACATCTAAAACATACAAAATCACGTGCCACGGTTTTGATTGGATAATTACCTATGTGTCTACTATGGTCAGAATGTTTCCAGAAGATTTCAAAAGCTTAAAACCGTCTGAAATAGTGTAAATACCCTCATTTTCCTGTACCTTAACTAGCTATGGAGTAAATCGTTCCTTTCACACTATGCACCTTTTCTTTAGTGTTCAATTTGTGTAGATTTAGCTCGGGAATATTAGAAAAGCTGAGGAAACCGATTCAAGCGTTTAGTTGGAAAATTTCAGTTTGAGATGACGGAAGATATATATTAGATAAGCCCAACAATAGTGTTAATAAATACCGGAATTCAAAATTCAAAGAGAAATAAATACTGGATGGATTTACTCCATCGCTGCTGATTTAGAGAGATTTTACTCAACGTCTACAAACTAAGTGGTCGCTACCCATTAACCACGCTCAGATCAATAATCAATGACTTCATGGGCTGATGCTAAGAGAGATATATTCGAATTGTAAACTCGGTTCAAAGAGATTTAGTAGCATGAAAACATTACTGGATATTTGGACAGTGAAATGGTGATCACATACAAATTCAACTTCTTATAATAGTGAAATTAAGGATAATTTCTAATGTAAAGGGATATGTTAAATCATATATCGTATAAAACCAAGCATATAGATTTAATTCATCTAGATATATTCATTCGTACAGTTTGGGTTTGTCCAATTTAATCTTGAACACTCTTAACCGCTCGATACAATTAACATGAATTTGAACAAAGAAGATTCTAAGCTTATAAATATCATGAAAGTTATAGACAAAAATAATGAACTAAAAGTTTGAACAATCTTTTGGAGTCAAAGAATGACCAATGGATATAGGAATTTCAAATGACTTAATTACTTTTTAATCTACCGTATCAAACGGTAATAAATAGTACATTTTTGTGCAATTAGTTCTCTCTATGAATTTAGATATAACCAGAACAAACATGGATGCAGAATAATATGAATTCATTATATTTCGTGGCTTCCCATCAGCTGCTTACAACCAAAGATGTATTAAAAGTTTACATTGAGGTAACATATAGTGTGAAACAATTGACATAGGTGAGTGAAAAGAATCGGAATAACAAAGGTTATCAATCATATATATATATATATTAGTACAGAGACATAAACAGAGATATAAAAATAACTTGCTTGACATTTAACATCAGAAGGTAGATCATCGAAACCCGCGATGGGGAAAAATGGCCCACCGAATCGTCTATGATTAGATATAGAACGGTCAACTGGATGATTTTGAATTGACTTCGAGCAACTGGGCAATGGTGATGTACCGATTGTTGAATGTGGAGATGTTGGAGGATGATAATGTGGGGATTCTAAAGCAGGAACTGGGGAATTTTCAGAACCCTAAAATAATTTTTTGTTTAGGAAATGAAATTATAGTTATGATAAGAAGGAAAAATATTCATAAAATTACTTGAAACAGTTAGTTTATATGAAGATGAGAAAGTTATATGGTGAATGCGTATTGTGCATTCTAAATAAAGAAATATGATAAAAGTCAATGGAAATCATTGTAAGATTACGGAAACACTGTATTCCTTCTCTTAAATAACATTAAAAACAAAATCCACGAAGTTTAAAATGAAACAAGCGTTTGATTTCAATGACAGACTGATTCTTCAACAGTCGGTATAAACTAAACACTGACGGAATCATAAAATAAAGATCGACAAGGAACACCATATAATATACACATCATAATTGATATTCTGTAAGTTATTGCTTATGACAATGATAATTTATGCAGTATAGACAAAGACTGAGTTTTATGATTTCAGGAACTGTTTATTTATTTATTTAAACACATACATATTGGTAAAAAAGGGCACCAGATACATATGCGCCACACAAAATAATGAAAGTAGGAAGAGAAGGGATGAAAAGATAAGGCGGGCTGAAATGTACAACCGGAAGACTCTTTCAGTTAAGAAAGTTAGAACCACTCTTCATGTAGAAAGTAGAAGAAGGTTACAGCAATATCGCCACTGGCTTATATTCTGAGCCAGATCTGATAACGTCTCTAGCCACTGTGTTGCACTATCTCTCGGACCCCAACCAGGGAGTCGTGAAGGACCAACAGAAGCTAACCCTTGGCAGCTTTCTTTCATGACACACCATGTCATACACTGACCTCCTCTCCGCTTTCTCCAACCAGTCCCAGAGTCGGAAAATAATGCACGACGTGGAAGTGTCTGGGACGACATTCGTAAAACATGTCCAAGCCACCGAAGTCGGTGTTTCAAGATGGTGACACCAATTGAACTATCGTCTCTCCGCCCGAACACACGATGCCCAACCCCGAGCTTTTGACCTAAAGGTCTGATCCACAAGGCAGCGCAGCATCGTAAGGAGATGCAGTCCCATGGTAGCCAGTGATCAATGATTGATTCGTACGCCATTTGTTCCGTCAGGATACTGGAGCCCATGTGCACCATTGGTTTGTAATCAGGGTTTTCCAACACCCCTAGGTGGATCCTCTATATCCACCAACCCAGTTAAAGCGCCGGACATTTGCTTTTCGTCCTCTCACTTTCGTAAACAACACCCCCGCCACGAGAAGGCAGTGAGTAGAACTTCCCTGTCAGAGGCTATATATTCGCGTGGCCATGTGAGAGCATTTCGGGAGGGAGAGCGGACTCTCTCCACTCTCGGCCGTACCAGGGCATTTGATGCACTACGGGTCAATGTTTAAAGTATTTGGTTAAACATAATGGTGAAAACAGTTTGTGTCAACATAAACTATAATGATGTCAATTCGGTTCCAAAGGATAGGGTTTACAACTGATCCACGTGAGAGCTTTCGTACTGTGTTTATAAAATATGGCCTCTCTGAGTTAAGGATATCTAGTGATTCACTGTGTTCACTCATCATTGTTCCCAAAAGATTGCTGACATTCAGTGGTAATACCATGTTGGTAATTCGGAGGATCGCTACTGTGTTCAACCATAATTACGATAATTAGAAATGTTTCATCATGTTCGGTAGCTTGGATACGTTTTACAAATCTTATTCCAGCTGCTTTCATGTCATACATTGTTTGCTAACGATTGGATTAGTTGTAAAGATCGCAGAAGTGGTCATTTTATGAAGTGACGCTATGGTGTGTAAGTAGGCTATATAGGACTGACATCTTTTGGTCCGTCACAACTCCCGGCTAGAGGTCCTAGAGATAATGCAACTCGGTTTATTGAGATAAATCAGATGTAGCTCAGACTGGGAGCTAATGATGATCCTGATGTAATTTTCTTTTTCATTCCTCATGAAAGTGAGACAAACCTCTTTAACTGAGAGACAACTCTCTCAGTCGTATTTTTAGTTGAACTGTATTTCTTATCACATACTTTTCTTCCTCACTTATTTCTACGTATTTAATGGTCCTTTCTTCGGCGCTTTAATCGGGTTAGTGGACACAGAGGATACACCTAGAGGAGTTCGAAAAACCCAGTTCCAAACCAATGGTGTACATGGGTTTCAGGATCCTGAAAGAGCAAATGGCGTATGAACCAATTATTTGTCACTGGCTACCATGGGACTACATCTCCTAACGTTTCTCCACTGCCTTGTAGATTAGACCTTTAGGTAAAAGGCTCGTGGAGTGGCCCCTTGAGAAAACCACCTGCTCCGGTTTGGGCGCCCGTGGAGTAGCCCAGCACTTACACAAATCGGATGATAAGTGTGGCGCATATATATTTGGTGCCTCCTTGAACCAATGTTTATGTGTTTAAATAAATAGAATGAAATAATTAGAAGTATATATTTAAGTATATATATATATATATATATATATATATATATATATATAAATCGATATCTACAAGAATTTAAAACTCCATCAAGTCATAATCGCTGGTATTCACCGTCTGACCAAGAATCACTAAGCAACAGCTTTAATTAATAAAGATTTTTTATAATTTCCTACTGTTTGATATTCAAGATTGCAATAGATCACGCTCTGTCGTTCTATGTGCCTCTATAGTATAGCCGTTTTGTCACAAGTTATGTTTTAAGAATACATGAATTGTGACTAGCACTGATATTCAAGAAACCAATGTTTTCCTATTTGGGTCTACAGGCAGATTTATTTGCATCCAAGTTTCGATCTTCTCACTGCGACTAGAACCCAATACTTTTCCACACTTTTTAAGTGTTATTCATGAAGCTAGTAAATCTAGATTTTCAGGTATGATATTTATACCATTAGTAGCAATGTAATGACAAATTCATTTGGTGCAATGGCTTAGTCTTGCAAATGCGATTATGTGTTCACTACTTCATAAGATCATTTGTTGTAGCAGTTAACGAAATAAAACAAATTCATTGTATTCTGTTCAATGGCTTAAAAATTATTTTATCTAAATCAAAATGAATCATGAGAAAATTAATAGATACAATAGTAAAAGTAATCAAATACATACTGTAGCACGATGTGGTGTTGAATGTATACGTTTATTCCCACGCTTATGTGAAGCATCAGTTGAATTACTGTTATTACTTGACCGTCTTATTCGACTACGCGATGATATCTTAGAAATACTGCCCTGTTCTAATTCAACAACTTTATCGCCATCTTGTTGTTGCTGTTCTGTTTCTTCTTCTTCATCAATTGTAGGAAGCTCTGTATGAGGTTTATTCACAACTGTCACACTTAATTCTTCATTGTCGTTGACAATATCATCAACTGAATGATGATTTTCATCATTGGATAAAGTACTCATAGTTTCAGGTATATTATTAGCGTGTTGTTGAGTTTGATGACGATGATGAACATTGTCTATGCAACATTCTACATCTTCGTCTTCTTTGCTTGAAGACAAGTGTAAATGAGTTTTTTCAGAAGACATAGTCAAATCATATGATAATCCATCCATGGGATCTGTGCTCATAGTTTGTACAGAACTTTGATCATCATCATTATCATCATCATCGTTGACATTATCATTTGGAATCCCATGATGTTCTCTGATTTTTTGACCTGTTTCTTCTTCTTCTTCTTTTTTGACCTTTTCTTGTCTATTATGCATGGTTATAGATGTTGGAGATATATTTTCTGTTTTTAATTCATTCACATGGGAATCATTAACTTGTGTATTATCATCAATAATTTCAGGAGATAAATGTGGAGCACTTGAATTCATGGAGCTTTCAATGGTTTCCTGCTTTATAGACAGATCTATTTCGTTAATTTCAGTGTCCTCTGAGATTTCGTTATCAAGTGATACATTAACTTTAGTTTTATGAATGTTCGTTTCTTCCAAGTGAACTTCTGCTTCAACATTAGGCACATTATCATTGAGATAATTCACTTCAGATGATAACGAAGAACTTATTAAATCTATCCAAGGAAGAATATAAGATCGTAGTACAAAATATAAATTAAAGCTTGAAAATGAGTCCAAGTGTTTACCAGACTACAGTATACCATAAAATACCCCATAAGATTAATAATTAAATATATATCAATTTAATGATATTGAACTGATCAACACAATATTTAAATTTCCTGAACTGTAAATAGATAATAAATTATTTGTTTCGCACTAGCACGCACAATTAAATTAAACCGATTCATCTATTACGAGTCATAATTACAAGCAAATGAAAGAGAATATTAACTTCGAAAAATAAAGACATACGAATTGACCAGAATCGAATATGAATATTATACAATTAAAACTTCAGATTGAGGAATCACAATTTAATCATACATTTGACAACTACATCTTCTGGAACCAACACCACTAGTAATAACCACTGATCCCTGACAAAATTCGACATACAGATAACGATTTACTAAACTTTGTAGTGGTGTATTAGATTTGCATGAATCGACAAATCTAATTATTAGGAGAAGTTTCCCATTAGTATGTTGTTTAATACATTCATAGTTAACTTAAGGCAAAAACTAAGCAGAGAGTATGAGTCAACCGATTTTTTTAGTAATGACTAGCAAATATAGGTCCTGGGTTCGAGGCCCGCGTGAGGGAATGTGGGTGCACACTGCTGAGGAGTCCCACACTACGACAAAACGGCCGTCCAGTGCTTCCAGGTTTTCAATGGCAGTCTAGCCTAGAACGACTCGTGAATTCAGCTGTGAAAATACTACAATCTCCACAAATTGCCATACTGAAAATATAGCGTTGTATGTAAACATTACAAGCTGAGGCAGAATCGGGTCATACAACCGATTTCAACGGCACAAGAACTCTTCAAAAAGGGTTTAATTATTACAAAGAAAAACTAACCGCTGAAACCCTGCACAAATGGGCAAATCCAAATAATATTAATGGGAGGATGGAATGAAATTAGCTGTCATGGCAACTAATAATTATTAAGTAAACCTGAACTCCTTATTCCATTTCATCTATCACTTAATATCTGAATACTAGTACAGGGGTGTGGAGATTGTTGAGTTTAGATTGATATCGTGAATATGCCAAACAACTAACTAGAACAATAATAACAACACAAACATTCATCCATTCATTTTTATTATGTTCCTTTATCTTCCTTTTATGCATGGTGTGACATATTTGGTTCATATTATACATAAAAATTGCATGTTTTCTTAAAAATTTACCAATCAGAGGCGATAAATAGTGAATGAAATTTCTTCCCACACCACTTACGAATACACATAATCCGTTATATTAATACACTTATCGTTTCACACTACCTGTCTCTTACACACTAAAGCAAATACCTACTTTAAACACTGTTAACGTCGATTGGATGACCTTTTTAGTAAGCAGTTAACCAGAGAACGATGTACTTATCTATGGTCGACGACTTTGATATTTGATTACGTTTCCTTGAAAAAAGTTTAGGCCAGATTATCAGGAGAAACTTTGGTTTTACTTCAAATTCATTCGCTGAAATTTTACAAATACATCCTTCCTCCTTAAGATGAGATTAACTTTATTTATGTAATGAAGAAGTTTAACTTATGAAAAGAAAGAATAGACTAAAAATAACTAACTATTTCACAATATTACCTGTATTAGGACAAAGTGAGATTTTATTTGTATCCTCAGTTTTCTCTAATGACTGTTGTCCATTCTTTGATTGAACAATTTTATTCACCTCTTTTGTACGAGATCGTTTAGAATTGGATAAAAGTTTTGCAGCAACAACCGATGAAGCGGTTCGATTACAAATTGCAGGTGATGCAGTTTGTAAAGCTGAACCAGGCGGTGTATCACCTAATAATTGTTTGTGTTGACTACGTGTAAGTCGTGGGAGTGCATCATTAGGACCATAAACACTTTCTGAACTACTATTACTACTACCATCGCTACTTTCATTATGAGAAGTTTCAAAAGAACGATGAATTTCCTGTTCACTGCCATCATCAGTATCTGAAGTATTTGAACTACCGTTCGATATTGTAGTTGAAGATTTAATAATCCGTATATGTTTTTGAAATGTGTTTGGGGAAGAATTACTTGAATTTTGGGTAGAATGACTTAATCGAGAACGCGATAGCTTAGAAGTGCTTTTTCTTTCATTTGAATTAGAAGATTCTGCATCGGATATATCTTCAAAAAGGGGTGTGGGATTATTATTATACTTCGTTGTCTTGGCTTGTTCACTACCCATAGTTGATTTTGATGACTTTTTAGTTAGTAATTTATCTGGAGACTTTATGTTTACTTTTTCCTCATCTATTTTTTTTAAAACAGCACCTGAAGAACCACTACTACTAGTGCTAGTACTCATGGAAAGATCCGAAAGTTTTTCTTCCGTACACGTAGATTTGGTAGTATCTCCTCTCTCTAAAGTATCTGTAGTGTTATTAAGTTTCTTTTGAAGATGATATGAAGAGATATCAGTTCCTTTCTCTTTAGGTCGATTTCGTTTCGTTATACTTTTCTGAGGTTTTTCATTCTGGGGTGGGGAAAAATATTAGGATATTTACTTTTGCATGAAACTGTAGATACAAAATGGATAAAAACTGTATGCATATTTATTAGAAAAGAGAACGTGAATATTCAGCAAAATATAGCACAGTAACTAATGGATGATATATGTTTAAAGTTCTGAAGTCTGTAGAGGTTGTCACTCCAATGTGTGTGTGTGTGTAAGAGAGACATGGAAAATTATCATTAACACACATCAAATATCAAAGCTATCAATGGGATGTAGGTAAAATTCTATAAAAATTCAAAACTGTTTAATTGGTGTTTACCACTCATTAATGGAATGTTGTTTCTTATATATGGCTGTTACACAGTGTTTAAACTACAAATAAACTAATAACTGCCCAAAAGGATATTAGGGAAACCAAGTTAATACTCTCCACTCAATCGTGAAAATTGTTTTTTTTTTCTCTATAAAACAATCACCTATTTAAACCGAAACTTACAATACATTATTAAAGAGTTTACAGAAAGAATAATGTTAAACAACCGGTTTTAATATATTAATTCAATTGGGTAACCAGCTTTAAACAATCATGAATTGCGATGAGACTTATGATCGTGAGATAAGAAGATTTAGACTATTTTAAAATCTTCACGCAGGATACAGAAGATATTGGTTTGATATTTAAGCTTAGCTGAGAGTTTATGATTACATTTCTATGATAACAAATAAAATTATTAAAATATCTGACTTTTTAGAAAAATGAAAACTATGGTATAACTTTCGTTATTCCAAAGATTTTAGGCAGAAAATCTGCAGCTTCTATACAGTGACCATAACTGATAGATATCAGGTTTTAGTTCAAATACAATTATCTTATATCCATTCAACTATTAGAAACGTCCAAAATTATATATAGTTTTTCCTTGTGGATCCGATAAATAGATAAGTGAACGATAACCTACACTCCATACTTACTACATTGACCTTCGTTATTTTCTGTATAAATTTGCTTCTATTATGTACGCAAAATAATTTTTGTTGTTACTAATATGAACAGCTTAGTTGTACTAGAATTTGAACTGTCCTGGGAATAGTAAACGCATTTTTTAGTAAAGAACTATCTGTTTTTCTTTCGGAGACATTAGTGTAAAATACAGCTGAAGTGCAAGAGTAGTAGTAATCAGCGGAAAAGCCAGTAGGCGATAATAAAATAGAGACTTTTCGTTTCAGTCTCTAATCAGTTAGTGATAAGATACATCATCCTGAACAACCAAGAATACTCCTGAGCTTCCGCAGCTGTAATAAAATGATTTTCACATTAATTTCATGATTAATACAATAATCGGACATGTAATTTAATACATGCTTTAATGACAAATTACTTACAGAAGGTATAGATTTATTTTCTTCATCTACTCTAATGATTGTAGAGTTATTCGATAATGAACATTCGGCATTCTGGTATTCATTCATAACCATTTGTTTGTTATCATTTAGAAGACTTGACTTGATATTTTTGTATTCCTTACTAATCATCAATATTGATGGGGATCCCGAGGACAACTTATTTTTTGATGAATCATCGTTCATTGGAGGTTGGTGTTTATCATTATTGACGTTTCGTTTAGATTTCTGTCTTGATAAAATCCTCAATTCATTGGTAACTTTTCGTTTTGCTAATTTTGATAGTTTAGAGACAAGATTTTTCGCTCTAATTGTAGACGATGAAGATATTTTAGATTCTTTGAAAGAAAAAAAGAGTGAAAAATTTAGTCATATTAAAAAGATTCAATTAAAACAACATTGTAGTCATAGTGATAAGTATATGAACTTCACAAAGTGGTTTGTTGTTAGCTTGATAAAGGCATATATAAGATGCAGAAATAAAAGTACATTTCAAAAAGACATAGAAACAGGGGAATAGTGAGAAGAGTAAGATATTATAAATAAATCAAAAAACAATATAATCAATTGATGTTTTTGATGTATTTCTGAAGTTCTAGTGCGAAGACTCAGATAGTAAGATTGAGTTGTGTAAGAAGTAAGTCATTTACCTATCAATTATAACAGAATAGCATCCTAATATATAGCGAATTTAGTGAAACTAAGAAATGTGAAGCACTCAGCACAAACTTTTTATTCTAAACATATCATATAGCAACAAAACACTAAGGTCCTTGTTGAGATCCTGTGTAGAAACCTGAAGAAAAAATGAATAAGTCTCAAATTAGGACGAAATAGCTTTTGAGTTCTACGTCACTCCTGTTGTCAATATCTATCACCGACGGGATCTTCATATCAGATTAGTTTTAACAAAACCATTTACCTAAAGATCATAATAAGTCTACAATCTTAAACTTACTAGCGATTTTAATCATCAAATATCAATCTGGAAGTCATTAGATTAGCAAGTACGATATATAAAGACTCAGGAATAACATGGAATGTAAAGTCAAATTGTTGTGACACTACTGTGATACCAATAAACTGTGTAGATGGTGGAGATTTGTAGCTCAGGTGGATGACTTTGATGGAGTTTTGTTCTCTGAGCTAGATGGTTTGTTAGTGGAGATTTCATCATTCTTCTAAACGACATCATCAGCACAAATTTCGGGTAGAAGTGAAGTGTATGAATTTCTCCACATGTGGTTCACAGCTTGTCCTGTACATCTCGATGTTGATTGGTTCTTGTAGACACACACTGATCAAATTCTCAACTACAATAGCAAAAACTCAAGAGCTCACAAAATCAACTACTTACAAACCTTGTTCAAGAGGGTGAAGACAGTGCAATACAATTACAGTACGAAAAAATGACAATGAACACTAGTTTAGGCAATCGACTACAAAGTCATAAGTTTAAAATCGAACCAAACTGCCTAGGTTCAGGTAGCACTCAAACAATAGGTATGACATGAAGTCAAGTTCCAAAACTATATTCGCCTTACCTACATACAGTTTGATTGGATATTTTAATTTTCATAATCAAAAGGAAACAAAACGAACAACAATAAAAAACTTACTCAAAGTTGATAACTTTGATTTGGAAATCAGACCACTACTAGAAGATGAAGTACGAGTTGGTTCAATCTGATCACGCTGACAACTCAATTTACTATGCAACGTACTACTTGCTTGATTGACATCATCCTCAAAATCTATTGGTTCTTTTTTACAATCTACAGATAATGATCTATCAGTTACCAATCGCTTTGTATCTACTACTAATGGAGTTGATAAACCAGTAGTATTGTGACAGATTTCACTATTAATTGATTCATTTGAAAGATTTTCCATTTTTAATTTTTTTGACTTAGCAGATAACTTGACAGAAGAACGATTCGGTGAGCTGGTACTAAAAACATCCGAAGCAATTGATAGATTTGAATGAGGTCGCTTGATAGGCTTGATTTTCTTACTGATACGTCCACGTAGGTTAATAGATAGTTGTTTAGTTTTAAAACCACCTGATTAGTATTGTCAACAATAACAACAAAATATAAAAGTAACATCATTAAAAGCTTCAGTTACATCGATAATATAACTTACTTTTCAATAACTAATTTTACAACCAAACGTATAGATCACATAACTACATCCAGTCAACTTACTTAGGTTTGAATAGTTCAAATGAACGAGATTAATTAAACTTTAAGATAATCTATTAAAATAAACAAACAAAATTTACGAATAATTCATTTTACGGTTTACCTTCAATAGGTTTACTTGATAATTATTTGATGTTACTCATCTATCCGATTTCTTCCCTCGCCAAGCAATGATAGCGAAAAATGTTGGCGAGTTGGACTAGTATGTGATTTTTAGTCAGATTATCAGTCAGTCAGTTACAACGTAGAACTTCGTACATACGTACATCAGTTCGAGTTGCCATACCACATTAACACAGAGATGAAGTTGTCGATTCAAATCCCATAATGGTAGAAGTAGTAAGAGTATAAGCAGACTCGGAAAGATTAGGGTACGAAGATGTTATTGAAGGAGTATAATACAATGAAATAAATTTGGAAAGAGAAAAAGAATACGGACATGAAGAATTCAGAAGATTAGAATTTGATAGAACACAAAGAGTGTATGCACCTTCGCCATTGCAAACGATTTTGAACCATGTAATTCAAGGTCTCTAACTGTCGATTGCTATCATGTCGCACATCCCAACCAGGTAGTCTAAACCTACCAACATGGCTCAGTCCACTTGTCAGTGACTTCATGGATTTATGACACGTTTTGGTATGGCCGCCCCTAGCTTTCTTCCAACCTGCTCCTACACCATAAATCATTGCACGTCAGGGCAGTCGGTTGTTGGGCATACGTAACACATGTCCCAGCCATCTCAACTGGTGAAGTTTCACTACTTCATCAATCGATTTGCCATCCTTACCTAGTACCCGTTTCCTAACATCTGCATTACTTACCCGGTGGTCCCAGGATATACGAGCAATGCTTCGAAGACACCTATGATCGAACACTAGTAACCTACGAATATGCACTTCCATAAAGTAGGACGGAACGGACTGCTGTACAGTAAACCCATCCTTTTGTTGCTGGACGGATATCTCACCTACTCCATAAATGACGCAAGTTGGCGAAAGCTAGACGAGCCTTCTGTATCCGTGCTGAGATTTCGTCACACACCAGACCACAAGGGCTGATGAGACTCCCAAGATAAGTGAAGCTGTCAACACGCTCAACTACTTCACTCCCTATCATTAGTTCAGGTGTCGATGCGACCCAATCCTTTTAGTCAGGTTATACGATATTTAGATGCATATCTACTAGCTTGACAGTTGTATCTCAGGGTATATATAGTAAGCAATTATTCTACATCTTTTTTCGCATGGGATGACTACAAATTTAACCATTATTGTAATGTTTTTATATTTATAATCGGACTAATAATTCAATGTTATAAGTGGTTAACTTGAAATGAAATCTCTAGTAATTTATTCATACATTTTAAAGGATTCATCAATAAAAAAGTTAAAATTAAATTACCTCGGAGAAAACTAAACCTTATTTTGTTAAGACTAACAATTCAATTTAGTTTCACATATTCAAAAAGCAATAAGTTAGGACAGATTATGTTACCGAAAGCTTGAACAGATTTTTTCGATTCCAAATATTAATAATGTACAATACAAAATTATTGAACATTTATTTAGTGTATGTACTTGTACATATTTCTTAGGGAAAAAAACAAGTGAAATACTTAACCAGAAATATACATTATATCAAAGAATCAACTGGGAATTAAGAATTTCTAGATAGACTAGCGAAATATTTGGTGCTCTACAATTTTTATCACTAGTGGATAATATAAAAGTTTACGCCAATACATTACTCGCTGTATGATCATTCTGCAAGTAGTACAAAATAAACTCTTTAATACTTATACATTTCATTTTTTTGGATGAAAGTAGTAGTAAGCAATTCGTAGTGGTGGGGAATCTACTGTGTGGTTCATTACATTAGTCGGACAGCAGACTAGAAATGCGGTGCGTAACAAATTTTTTGTGAAACAATAGTATTATTCAAGAGCTAACGTATGTGTTTGTATGAATAGCATAGCATAAATATAACAGGTGAGTTCAACCAAAACGACAGCCTAGTTGTACAGTTTATAGTAATAAATGATGGATGATAACTGAAAATTATTATTTCTAACATTTATTTCAAAAACAGTGATTTTGATTAATTTATAACACAAAAACAATGAGGATGAAATTGTTTCAGAAGTTAATTATCAACAATTTATATGCAAATTGAAGTATCCTTCTTAAATGAAACGAAGTTGTTTATAGTATAACATTAGTTGATGAAACATGAGCTGTGTAGCCTAGTGTTTCAAGCAACTCGTTTTCAACCAAAAAACTGAAATTCGGAACGCCACTCCACCTACTTCTACTTCAGTAGACGCATAGAAACACTAGCCCATACATAAACAGTGTGCCCCCAAATGCCCTGGTACGGCCGAGAGTGGGGGGGAGTCTGCTCTCCCTCTCGAAATGCTCTCGTATGGCCACGCGAATACATAGCCTCTGACAGGGAAGTCCTACTCACTGCCTTCTTGTGGCATTACTGTTGTTTACGAAAGTGAGAGGACGAAAAGCAAATGTCCGGCGCTTTAACTGGGTCGGTGGATATAGAGGATCCACCTAGGGGAGTTGGAAAACCCTGATTACAAACCAATGGTGCACATGGGCTCCAGTATCCTGACGGAACAAATGGCGTACGAATCAATCATTGATCACCTGCTACCATGGGACTGCATCTTCTCACGATGCTCTACTGCCTTGTGGACTAGAGCTTTACTATTAAGTTTTTTCGGTGTATTTTTTTACGTGGGATTAGTTTACTGGTGATACGTGCAATTCACTGTAAAAAACTATTTTGTGTTAAACCAAAAGCTACACTTTCATTTTACAAGTTTTAATTACAGTAAAACTTATCTGTCACATAGTGCTTTGACCCCAGTTGTCACATCTCACATTAGTTCAGTAGGAAAGCAATTTAGGGAAGATTTATTAACTAAATGAGGATTAAAATTTATGATAGATATTCTAGATCTCATTTACAGTGAACCGTTTCAGCATGAGACTTCATAATCTATGAAGTCAAATCTTACCTACAGTTGTATGAATATATCCAGGCAAACCTAGGCGTTTTTGGATGTCTGGTCGAAACACTTACCATAAAATCTGAAATTTACTCTGTAAGATTTTCAATTCCTAACCTTCAGAAATTTTAGTTTCGAACAATTTCTGTGTAGTAATTTCATATAAATTTACATCTTATTTCACACATTCAAGCACATGGGCTCCAGTATCCTGAAGGAACGAATGGCGTATGAACCAACTGTTGGTCACCGGCTACCATGGGACTACATCTCCTTACGATGCTCCACTGCCTTGTGGATCAGAAATTCAGGTCAAAGGCTCCGGGTGTGGCCCCCTAAGAAAACCACCTGCTTCAGTCTGGGCACCTGGGCAGTATCACAACCCTCACACAAATCGAATGAGATTTGTGAGGTGCATATTTATCTGCTGCTTTTTTGTACCAATATTTATGTGTTTAAATAATAATAAGTAATAAGTACATTAATCTGCTTATGATAAATGAGTTCTATTTAAACTGAATTAAAATTTCCAGTAGAAATAGACTATGTAGTTAGAGTCAATGCAATAACTGTGACCACTGGTTGGAAAAGTTGGACGATATGCCTTAGAATCGGTCAGTGGAGTAGATGCATTCACTTTAGATCCTAAGTCCTAATATTCCATCACATATATCTTTTTCATGACTCCTCAAACCATGTTCTTAATGTTCATTCTCTTTAATTATCGTTGCTACGACAACAATTCCGATCCTTTCGCTATTCCCCTAGTTAACTGAGTTTCGTAGTTAATGAGAAATGGCGACTTACACCAATGAACATTTGTTTCACATACTATGTTCATTATGACTGACTGATAACCTCATGAAATATTTTATTTAGTCGTTCACAATCTTTGAAAAACAAAGTTCTGATACCCATTGTCTTCATTAAATTTGGTTTCAAGGTGTCAGTGGTCTAATCGACCTTTATAAAACAGGTGTAATCCAGAGGTGAGGTTAGACGCAGGGTATTAGGGAATGATGGTAAATCAGTTGATGAGGTGATGAATCTTCATCGACTGAGATAGTTGGGTCACGTGTTACGTATGCCTGAACACCGATTACCACGACGCGCAATGTTGACTAGTGTAGGGGATGGTTGGAAGAGAGTAAGGGTCGGCCAAAACAAAACGTGGCATCATTGCTTGAAGTCGTTAACTTCTAGTCTGAGCCATGTCGGTAGATACAGACTACTTGGTTGGGGTCCGCGTGACTACCTTAAACAATGGTTGGAGACTCTGGGTGACATGGTTCAGAATCGATCACAATGGCGTAGGTGTATACACACTTTTTCTTCCCTTAAACCTTGAGATTAAAATTGCTTCATATCTCTCTTCCTTCCTGTACTATATCCTTATATACAACCTATAATTTATATACTACTACCACCACTAAATTAATTACTTCTATGAATCCGGTGTTCATCTTGTTGTGCTAACGAGGTATGGCAACTTGGACCGATGCATATATGTGCCTGGTCCTACGTTGTCGCCGACTGACTGACTGACTGTAATCCAGAGTACAAGAGTTCCATCTAGAAATACTGAACTAAAATAATTTATTTTGATGTGACTCCAATGGCCCGTCATAATCGTTAATCTTTAAAAGTTAAATTATGACGTAAACCACCTACTGTGTATTCGACTTTGAATCGCACTTTGAGTGTCTGTGTGTGTGGGGGGAGACTAATATTACCCATCCGGTTGTCAAAACCGAAGGTATGACAGGACTCGAACGTATGTCCCACTGGTTGCAAGCCAAGTACTTCAACTAATGTAAGCTGACACTTCAAAAGCAGTTGTAAACAGATAAAAATGAATATATATAACTTAATGTGAATGAGCAACAGTTTAAACCTAATATTCTCTACATAAGTTAATAATCATTCGAAAAGGTTACGTACTGGAAGTTGTTTTTAACTTCTTTGAACCAGCATTTGTATCCTCTAGTTTTTTCTCAGTATTACTATTATTATTGCTATCTCTACTAACAGAAGAATGAGGTTTAGGCAGGCATCCACTAGCCAATAAAGGTAATTTAGGTGTTTTTTTCGAACAAAATTCATTTCTTTTTGAAATAGATAATTTTCGAGATGAGAGTCGTCTACCAGGTTTTAGTGAAGAAAACATTAAACGACGACGTCGAACAATTGGTGCTGTTGTAGTAATGTTGTCAGATGCTGTTTCAGTTGTTTGACTATGAATACTTTCTTCATCTTCATGTGCATCTTCTGTAGCAAAATATTTAAAGATTTCTCTGTCTTTTTCATTAACATTTATTTCAGCGGAACCCAATGATCGATCACATTCACGTTTTGAATGTGTTACAATATTTTGATTTTTTAAAGTGGATTTTTGAGGTTCATGAACTATTGGGCTTAAAGAAGAACAAGACTGTGGACGATCTTCATCTGTACCCCGACCCCATTCTATCACAGAACTACAAAAATAAAAAGAACATATTGAAATGTTTTTATTTGGGTGAAACAAGATATGAAGCAAAATAATCAACATGTTACGAACAAAGGTACTATTTGGCAGCCCAAAATTAAATAAATTGCAACAAAAGATGAACAAAATAGTTATTTAGTTTGAAGGCGATAAAACGGTAAACAGAACAAATCACAACACAGTCGAATATATGAAGACTAGACACTAAATTATTATAATTAGACTTTAAAAATATCAGTTTTACTCTTAAGTGCCACAACTATCAACGTCACCAGGATGTGCATACACACATCCAAAGTATTGTTATTCTTTTTTTTCAATAAATTGCATTGTAGATCATATTAACATTCAGGGCAACTAAACTGTGAGTTCCCCGACCGTTGCTGCTACCTTGACGTGGTGGTCGGGCTTGCCTATCGTGATGAAGCAATCGAGCTATGCTGGCTGGAACAATCGTTCCTCGAGGTCCTACCATGCCAGACAGGTCGGTTGAAGAGCGGTGAGACTAAAAGCAGCAAACCCAAGGTCCGAAGGCGAAGTTGTACTGTCGACTGTACAGAGGTGTGACGGCAGTAAGGTGTTTCCTTCAGACAACCAGCATGACAGCGATGCTGCCTTCCCACAAGGAGGGGTGGGGTTAGAAAAGGTCGGCCCTAAAAATGCATACCTCGCCTTATCCCACGGATATCCGTCTCCGGCGGTAAGGTTTTTTTGAAGAACGGAGCTAACACAAAAACTATCCACAAAAAGGTCGTGTGTGACCGACCTCAAGCAGTTGTCCCTTGGGCACTGCGGTCACGCTCTCAGGTCATTAAGACCACTTTTAACCCAATTTCCTTTTCAGGTACCCCCAGGAGAACCCTTCCACGGTGTGGGCAACCGGGAAGTGATAACTGCCCTCATACCTCTAACAGCACTCAAGACCACCGTATTCATAATCAGTCTCCTTCAATTCCTACTATTCCTTCTACCTTGACTTTCAACACTAAACTTCCTGTTCCGGTTCCCTCCTCAAGTGTCACCATGGCCAACGATTCTAGTGCGCGAAACGCTGTCCCAGGTCTACTTAAACCTTGCTCCAAACTACACATTGGAGCCTTCAACGTTCGTACCCTATGCCAAATCGGTCAACAGACCTACTTTGCTAAAACCCTAGAATCTCGTACCATTGATGTATGGTGTGTCTCCGAAACACGCATACAGGATCCCAGTGTGGTCATTCACTTGACCTCACCTCGCCAAAATGGACAGCCAACGAAATACACCCTCCGTGTATCTGGCGTCCCGTTGGCAAGTTCTCGCGGGCTTGCAGGTGTAGGTATAGCACTAAGTAGAAAGGGCAGAACAAGCACTATTAGAATGGATCCCCGTTAACAGTCGCCTGTGTGCTGTCCGGCTGAATGGCTCCGTAAGAACTCGGAAGGATAGGGACACACGTCGTTGGCTTTTCGTCGTTTCTGCCTACGCTCCCACCGACTGCAGCCATGATGAAATGAAAGATGACTTTTACAGAAAGCTCTCTGAGCTTCTTCAGAAAGCTAAGCGCTCAGACATAGTACTCATAGCGGGTGACTTTAATACCCAGGTAGGCAACTTGAATCAAACAGAAAGACATTTAGGTGGGTGTTTTAGTATTCCGGCTCAACGAACCGATAATGGTGATCGTCTGTTGCAACTATGCTCAGACAATCGTTTATTTCTAGTAAGCACTAATTTTAAACATAAGGAGAGACATCGTCTAACATGGCGACCACCTGCACCAAACCAACGATGGACTCAAATAGACCATATTGTCATCAGACATCGTTGGAGAGGCTCAATAGAAGATTGTCGCTCGTATTGGAATACTTGTTTAGACTCTGATCACGCTTTAATACGAGCGCGCATTTGTCTGCGCGATTAGGTTGACTAATATTCTGGCTAAAATCTGGGAGACGGACGTAATCCCATCCGACTGGTCACAATCACTGATTGTCCCAATATATAAAAAGTGGTCAAAATCATCGTGTGATAACCATAGAGGGATTAGTCTGACTAACATAGCATCTAAAATACTAGCCTCAATAATTATCAGGCGCCTAACTAAGACTCGTGAACTGCAAACACGAGAAAATCAGGCTGGCTTCAGACATGGTCGTGGCTGTATCGACCACCTATTCACCATTCGTCAAGTTTTAGAGCACAGACATGCTTATCGGCGTCCGACAATGATAGTTTTTCTTGAATTGAAAGCAGCATTTGACTCTGTAGACCGAAAGGTTCTGTGGCAGTGTCTGTCATTAAAAGGTGTACCTCAGAAGTATATAAACCTTGTGAAGGCTCTTTACTCGAACACTATCAGTCGAGTGAGAGCTTATGGCGAACTGTCATATGATTTTACAACCTCAAGTGGTGTCCGTCAAGGCTGTCCACTATCCCCATTTTTGTTTAACTTCATTATAGACCTGTTGCTGGAAATAACACTCTCGTCGACTAAATTCTCGAGCATTAATATTCTACCAGGAGGTTAACTAAGCGACTTAGAATACGCAGATGACATAGTCCTGTTTGGTGAAGACGCTGGCAAAATGCAGAGTCTTCTGTTAGAACTGAATAATAATGCCAGGATGTTTGGGATGCGTTTCTCCCTCTCTAAATGTAAACTGTTGCTCCAGGACTGGCCTGTGTCAACACCTGAACTAAGGATTGGGAGTGAAGTAGTCGAACGCGTTGACAACTTCACTTATCTTGGAAGTCTTATCAGCCCTAATGGGTTGGTGTCTGACGAAATCTCAGCACGGATTCGAAAAGCTCGTTTGGCTTTTGCCAACTTACGTCACCTATGGCGAAGACGAGATATCCGTCTGTCAATTAAAGGACGAGTATACTGCGCATCAGTTCGCTCTGTTCTACTTTACGGTTGTGAAACATAGCCATTAAGAGTAGAAGATACTCGTAGGTTACTAGTATTTGACCACAGATGCCTTAGAAATATTGCTCGCATCTGCTGGGATCACCGGGTAAGTAATAGTGAGGTTAGACGAAGGGTATTAGGGAACGATGGTAAATCAGTTGATGAGGTGATGAATCTTCATCGACTGAGATGGTTGGGCCATGTGTTACGTATGCCTGAACACCGTTTACCAAGACGGGCTATGATGACTAGTGTAGGGGATGGTTGGAAGACAGTTAGGGTCGGCCAAAACAAAACATGGCATCAGTGTTTGAAGTCACTAACTTCTAGTCTGAGCCATGTTGGCAGATGTAGACTACTTGGTTGGGGTCCGCGTGACTATCGTAACCAGTGGTTGGAGACTCTAGGTGACATGGCTCAGAATCGATCACAATGGCGTAGGTGTATACACTCTTTATCTTCCTTTAAACCTTGAGACTAAAATTGCTTCATATCTCTCTTCCTTCCTGTACTATATCCTTATATACAACCTATAATTTATATACTACTACCACCACTAAATTAATTACTTCTATGAATCCGGTGTTCATCTGGTTGTGCTAACGGGGTATGGCAACTTGGACCGATGCATAAATGTGCCTGGTCCTACGTTGTAGCTGACTGACTGAAACTGTGAGTTCATATCCATTCAATTTTAACAGAGATCACAAGATATATGACTGATTGTAAAATTAAAATGAACTATAAAAAGCTCTAATATCATTAAAAATGTTAAATACATTCACAATCTCTTACATTATACGAGATCTGGGAACAACTTCATCATGTCGTGTATTCCAACCCATATAATGAACACGATATTGTATATCACCAACCCCGGACCATGAAGCAGTTGATAGTGAATCAGCAGAATTATCAGTCTTTAAACCACAAAGAGCTGGTTGAGGACGTAAATGCTTCAAAATTTTAGCTTCATAAGCAACATGATCACCGCATCGAACTCGAACACGTGATCGAACAGGAATAATCTGAAACAAAATGCCAACAGAAACGTAAAGGAAAATAGAACGTATTGAAAAATATTCAAATAATTCAAGCTTACACTTTTAAAGAAAGATGTGAAATGCAACTCATCAACTACTGTTTATAGCGTTGTGCATCAAACTAAGAGCTATAATTACTGGTCAGTGTAATCGGCGTTGAAATCGTAACTTTAAGGTTAAAACAACCAACATTCGATGAGGATTGATATACGTCAGAATACAAATAGCTCAAAAGTGAGCAATGGACAAATAGATTAATCACTTTTTGAAGTGAGGAAACGAATTTCATGGACCTAATTTTTCAATCACTTCATTCAGCTTCCTTTCAATCCATTTTAACTTAATTCAAAAATCCTGATCAATCAATCAGTTCTCGTTCTTTTTGAAATATTTTTCACTGTTGAATCGGAACAAATAATCGATGTTGAAAATAACTTTCTGGGTTCTAAATTAAATTCCCTATTTAATTTAATGATTAATAAGCTGAAAATTCTTTTATACAATATTAAAATAGTAATTAGGTATCCTCAATATTATTAAGTTATTCACATCCAACAGTAAAAATTATACCAAGGGAATGTAATTATATTTAATGCATACATAATATGTGGGAAAATACGAACACAAACAAAAAAAGTAGACTTACGCAATTTGATAAATCTTCTACTTTGTCAACTGACTCTCTACCAAAATTTAACAATGGAAGATTTAGCATTGTACTGTCATAGAATCTTTTACGATTTTTCAAAGGTGCTGATTTTGATGAACTATTGGATGAAGCTGAAGAAATAGGTTTATCCAAATCATCAGTTGTCGATACAAAATTGGACGATTTATCCATTCCTAATGATGATGATGGTGATGACGAGGTCGACTTTCGTATTGGCGTATTATGGTGAGCACCAGTATGTTCATCGTCCGATTGTTTAAAACGACCAACTATTAGTTGCTGCTAGATGACAAGAAAGTAAGAGAAATCACAAATAAAAACCATGATTGACAAAGGCATATTTAAAAATTTTACGCGATAAAAACAATTAATATTGATACTTACAGACGCTTTATCAGAAGTCCGTTTCTTTATAGTCGTCGTTGTTATTGTGTTATCAATGGTGGTAATGGGGGCACTACTGACAGTTCGGACATCTTTATTGGCTCCAACACTTGAATTTTCTACTGTTTCAGTAACATTTATGTTAGAGTACTTTGATTCTGTCTCCACATTCCCCGAGTCAAGAGATTGTTTAGTCTGTGAAGTGTTGTTAGAAGCTGAGTTATTGGTATTGGCTCCGGTTGAATTGGTATTTGAATTTTGTGCTGAAGAAGGGTATCTCGGTCTGGATAGTGGAAGCTCACAAAGATTTGTACCCAACTTTTTACTGATATCATCCCATGGATATAAATACCTATACAATAAAGAAGATGAGCAAATATTTTAGCAGGAATTTAAGTTTGAGCAAGATCATTTACAGTTTGATTATCCGCAATATAATGTAACTCACTCAGCACTCAGATTTAAGGTGCATAGTTTGCGTGAGGACTAACGACACTACATGGCTCCCTACACTAAAGTAGGCTCAGTTAAGTTCAGACCTGAAACCTATTGGCTAGAAAGCAAATTTTTAACTACTAGTCCACCACTGGGCGGTTCGGTAAGAGTTCGAATATATAAATATGATTGGAGGAAAAGACAGACAAGTCAATGTAGGAAAAATGAAGTTCAAGTTGGTGTATTAGATTCCTAAACGGGTAATAATGCTAATAATATAATTATGAACAGAATGGGGTTTGTGAAGATTGTAGTAATTTTAATGGTTGAATTCATGATTCGATGTAAGCTAGACCATACTAGGACAAACCGGCCGTCCAGTGCTTTCAGGTGTTCAATGGTGGTCTAGCTTACATCGACCCATGAACTCAACTATTAATAATATAATTAACAAGAAATTAAGCAGGGTAATTATCAATACCAATAACTTACTTCTTAAAAGCAGCTTGCAAGTTTCGTGGACCAGCACTGAAGTTTTGAGGCAAATCCATTTTTGAATAAACATAACCCCACTTAAGTTGTGAAGAAACACGATGAAAGCCACCGAGTTTATGAACCAGCTAAAAGAACAATGTCCAGTAAAAATAACGGTAACATACGGAGAAAAATGATGAAGTTTGGAGAAACATTAAATTATATATATATATATATATATATATATATATATATACTACTCCCACAAATACTGTGCAAATCAATAAACAAGCACTAGTTTGTATACTTCGTTTCAAGTGACATAAGTTCTGTAGGAACTATTAATCACTCCGTCATCATCAAAGTAGAGCCTGCCACAAACATGTTGCACTCTGATTTTTGTATGCCTCAATAAGACTTGAGATATTGAGAGAGTAATTGTATTTGTTATCGATCCATATATTATCAGTGTAATCGGTAATTATTATACCAACCCAATCCGCCAAATAAAACAAAATGAATGCACAAACATAAATGACATTCATAAATAATATTTTAAGCTTCTTCTTCTGATGAACTTCAATATTCGATGGATAGTGGAATGCAATAAAAAGAAATGGCTAATTAAAAAAAGCACAACTGTATTTATCTAACAATTAAGATAACTTTTATTGACGCTAAACAGAAAAATCTCTCTTTGTACATGCAAATTAATATGAAGACAGATTGAAATAATAATAATAATAATAATAATAATAATAATAATAATAATAATAATAATAATAATAATTTGAAATGGACTCACTTTATAAAGTTTATATAAATCTAAATCCTTGTTAGCTAAACTAGGTGCTTTGTTGATTGGAGTGCCACGTTCATCCATAAATCGATACAGTTGAGCAATCCATCTATCACGTGCTTCGAATTTAGCTACCGACGATGTTGATGAATTATCTGATGAATTGTATGATCTACTGGCACCACTATTATCACTACTACTAATACTACTGCTGTTGACACTACTACTACTACTATTCAGACTACTACTTATACTACTAGGTGTACTAACAGTAGATACGGTTATATTACTGCTAGTTGATGAACTGATTGATCCGGTGTCACTATCCGACTCTGAAGAATTTGCCGAGGCTTCATTAGAACTTACTGAGTCAAATAAATCACCACCCGAAATAGGATTTTTTTCATATTTTAAACTTGTAGTTGACTTTCGATGACTATTAGTGCTTTTCTTGATAACTTTATAATTAGCAGATTTTTTTGAGGATTCCATGCGAAATGACTCGTTTGAAGAAACATCACTTTGTCGTTTGTCAGTTTTAATTGAACGCAAAATATTTCCCTTAAGTCTTTTCAGTTTTAAGCGTGAACTTGACCGGGAACCTTGGGTTTTATCCGATTGTCTTAGTCGTTTACGAGTAGAATGTTCAAGTTGTTTACTTGGTCTGCCACGTGGATTTTGGATTAAACCTTGGCAAGTATTTGGAGATTGTGGGGCTTCAGAGGATGACGACGATGAAGCACGTGTATGCTTAGAGCTTAAAGGGCTAGAATTTATTGAATCTGTGAAATCTGAAGCCGCTTGCCTGGAACGACGTCTTGAATGTCGCCAGTTTTTTGTGCCTAACATTGTTTGCACAGCATTTTCACCCCAAGAAACTGGAAATTCATGTCGATCCAACCACAACAGTGCACGCTCAAAAGCTGGACGAAGTGCTGGATAAGTGTGAGCAAGTTCAACTGCATCAGGTCGTTTCAATCGTTTAACAAATTCAACAGGAACTGCTAGAAACCTGTTATCCTTAAACGAACGGACCAAAAATTTGTAGGACTTGTGTGTTTTAGCAATATTTGAAAGACTTCCCAGGTCAATACTTGGCATAGCAGATGGTAGAACAACAACAGCTGGGGTAAATCGACGTCGGGGTGTTACCCCAGAACTCTTGCAGGCCGGAGTAGACGATCCATATGAGGGAGAGCCAAAACCATCTACAAAACAATATGTAAAAATATATCAATAAATGCACGAAAACTTTAAATACTAACATGTAAACATATTGTATTCGCCACAGATTGATCTCATTTAGATAACCAAGAAAACTAGGGAGCAATAGACAGCTATTTCTTTCTGGCACGTGACTCGTTAGAGGCGAGCACCCATGACCCAACTGGAAATCAAACCCAGGACCACCAGGTTTGGTGGCGAACCCTTAAGCAGTAGAACGATTAGATCGAGGTCCAATAGTACAATTTCGGCTTCAATCAATTTGCAATGGGGTCTACAAACTAAGTTTATAACCAAAACCCCTTCAACCACAAAAACGTTGTCAGCTCAATTGTGACTTCTTTTCAAGAAGTTCCTGAAGTTCTGATGAAAAAGCGTGACTAGTGGTGTTTAGAAATGCTAGAAGTGAAACACGTACCGCTAATGGCATCGGTTGATTATCATGCTGTATCATAAATTGATTGAATTTGAAATCATACGATTGCATGGTGACTCAGTGATTTAATGGTTAAATGTTTATTGCAAGACCTGACAGATCTGAGTTCGATCCTTTGAGGAGCTTTCAATGGACACTGTTAGAGAGTCCCGTAATGGGACTAAATGGCTATGGAGTGGTCTTTATTTTCCAAAAGTAGCCTGACTTCAATCAATCTGCGATGTATACAACCTACAAACTAAACTAATTCCCATAAAACCCCTTCAACTAAAATATAATTTACCTTTCCCTGTTAGCGGCATATCAACCATGACTAAACGCCCGAGTAAACGACAATAACTAGCAGGTAAATGCTTTAAATCAGTCGCTCCCATATTTGATATATTGGTATTAGCTTCTAATGATCGAGTCCGGCCTTCATCATTCTGTTCTGTTATATTTGAGCAATTTGGATCAAAATCATCTGCATCATTGCGATCTGTCAGTTTATCTGAATTTCCGTTAGGTTGATACGAGATGGTTTGATTAAAATCTTTAATCACACTTCTTTCATCTACATCTTCAGTTTCGATTTCATCCATGTTCTCATCCAAGATACTACTACCATCTTCACTGTTATTAAATAGGAAGAAAGATAAGTCTCATTAAACAAAGATTAAATTGTTTTTAAAGAGATTGTGAAGAAACAAAAAAGAATAAATGTTTTACAGTTAATGTCAAATGACAGACCTTGATATAATTGTTGAGAAAATATCATTGATATAATATAATTTAAGCTAAGTGAACAATATTCTACCCTTATCGGATTGCGAAGATTACCAACACACCCTCCCTCAATCCCAAATATTAAGACATCAATCAAAAAAAAAAGAAAAAATATGATTGTTTCAGCGACTCGAATCAAAATCTAAACACTTACGTATGGTGTATACACATATACACTATTTAAGTTGTGTATTTCAATATAAATTAATAGGAATATAGTCAAGTATGGAGAGGGAAATATCATGAAAATTAATTCGAAACAGTAGAGATAATAAAATATTAACCAACACCACATCAATATATGTGGAGAGTGATTTAACTGAAATTCAGATGTTTGTCATCAATCAACGTAGAGTCGGGAACAAACGTGTGTTGACCCGAGTTCCCGTATAACGTTAGCACGAGATGAAACTAACATGATGAATAGCAAAACAGATAGGTAGTGTAGCAAAAATAGCAACGAGAAAAAGTGAACATTGAGAATATGGTTCGAAAAGACTGAAGTAAAAGATATATATATATGAAGGAATACTGAAGCTGAAGATCTATAGAAAGATAAATAATGAATGCACCTACGCCGTAACCGACTCTGACGCACATCAACTAACATTTCGAGCTATTGGTCGCAACTACTGTGTAAACCTCAGCCAGATAGTCCGCATCTACTGGCATGGCTCACACTAACAGTCAATGATTTCTTAGACGGAAATCATGTTCTGGTTTGGCCGACCCGGACTTGCTTTTAATATACTTTCACGCTAACGAACACAACACATGTGAAAATAGATTGGAAGAAAGCTAGGGACGGCCGAATCATCTATGAAGTTAATGACTGTTGGTGTAGTCCGAATAAGAGTACTCAACTGAAGGCAAAACAGCTGTCCAACGTTACACCCTTATTTCCAACGGTTCTCTAGATGGTGTCGATTCATGGAGAAAAGTGTAGGTAAAATTATACATAATTCGCAATAATAATAATAATACTCTTTTACCCAGATCGATATTTCCTTCTCTGATCTATAACTGGTTGTCTGAATTGCTCCGGATTAGTTAAAGGTAAACAATCCAAACTCTAAAATGAAAAAAATTTTTTACAAAACTTGTACAATTCATTAAAGATGAAAAAGAACAAGCAAATAAGGTAACTAAATTGCACTTGAAAAAAAATAGTAATTTTACTCATTTCTAATAAGTGAATAATTCATGAATTTACAAGTTACTGTAATGAGAATAATTTGGAAAGAGAAAACAAAGAAAAGAACCTGTTGTTTAAGGTATAAATTAGTTTATAGAAAAAACGGCTCTTAAAGAAATAACACGTATACAAATGAAAAAAGGGAAGTATTTAATGTGCATTAAGTTAAGCAAATTTAAGTGAATTTTAACAAATAAAAAAATTTTTGTCGATGACGGTCAGTGATGATATAATAACATTTCACAGTACTAAAAGAAATCAAGACATTAAAAACGATAATATTAACCAAGAGAATCGATATTATTAAAGGGAAGTATTATGTTCACTTGTCTTCAAGTTCAAAGAACAAAACACCTTCAAAATCTTTATTGTTAGTCAAAAATATCGTCTATCAACTTGGATAGACATTATAAAAGTATACATTGTATTCTTTCGCTGAAGCCGAATTTAAACTATAACACTAGATTACAGTTTCTACTGACCATTTTAAATCCTCCAAACTATTACGAAGAAATAAATATGTTAGATTCACTTGTAGAAAAGGTTTAATTGTCTTTAGCAATCTGGGTAATAAATTTATCATTTGAATTGATTATTGAAGTGTGGGCATAAATATAAAAGATCTAAATAATATTCTCCAACCTTTGCTATTTTACACCTGTGAGATATGTTTGGTTCTAAAATATTCATACCTTCAACCCAATAACGTAATGTAAACGTGACACATATAACTAGAACACAGGTAACATGAAACAACTATATATGGTACAAAAACGCTTTCCTAACACATGCTCAAAGCTCCCTGTGATGATTCATCTGAATGTATAATGTTGCTTCCCTAGTGACCTTCAAAGTCTAAACGTAGGGAGCTAAATAGCTGAGCGCCTTTACCACTTCATCCCACTTAGAAGTCTCATCAACCCTGATGGGCTGGTGGCCGATGCAACCTCGGAAAGAAAACAGAAAAGCCGCCTAGTATTCACTAGCCTACACCACAAATGCAGCAGATGAGATGTGTTTGTATGCCTTCACTCTGCCTCAGGTGTTTGTATATAGGACTTTCAATATGTCAACAAAGTTCTCAGGCACACCCTCCTTCAACAGACAACTACACAGAACAGTTCTGTTCAACGAATCGAAGGTGGCTATCATATCAAGATGAACTATGATTAATGGCCTGTAATAAGTATTATGGTGTTCTGACATTAGGGGGATGGTAAAGATATAATCAATACATCTTCTACCACAACGAAAACCAGTCTGCTACTCGTGAGCCAATGTTTCTCGAGTTTTGAACAATCTAGGAAGCATCACAGAAGCAAATAGTTTGAACGCAACCGGAAGTAGATGTACCCTCCGATAGTTACTGCAGAAACTGAGTGAATCTTTTCAAGGATAAGAACAATTGTCGACTCACTCCACGATGTTGGAATATTCTGAAATTGCCAGACGTTTGTGAAGAACTCAGTCAGTCCTATAACCAGAAAGTTACCACTATCTTTAGAAAGGGATGGAGGTAAGTCATCTGGGACTGGTGATTTGTGGCACTTCAGGAGTTGGAGTTCCTTGCGGACTTCCGCCTCGATAGCCGGGTCATTCATCATGGACCATGGAGAGCGGGCTTCCCCCACTCTCGGGTGTACCACGGCATTTGGGCGAACATTTGCAGACAGTTGAGTCAATTTTAGTACCGACATTATTTCATAATATCAGGGTTATCTTCGACTCGTTGGACAGGACTGTGCTCTGGAATTTCCTTTCGAAGAACCGAGTGCCTAAGAATTTTAACATCTTTAAGCCTCTGTATAAAAATATCAGATGCAGAGTGATGACATACAACAACCTCTCTTAATAGTTCTATTCGAGCGACGGCTTTCTATGATGGGACTGGAAAAACGAAGATGTATTCAGTTTATGACGAGGCGCCGAGCTATGAAAGAAGGCTGTATAAAATTGTCAACTGTCGGTCTATTACAACTCCCTAGTTGAGGTCCGTAAGATAGTTCAACTCAGTAGCTTGAGATGTTATCAAACATGGCTCAGAACAAAAACCATTGACGATCCTATTGTAATGTTTTCTACTTTCCTGTAAAAGGGAAAGGAACTTCTTAAGTGAAAGGATTCTTCTTGGTTTTACTTTTCTTAACTGAACTGCTTTTTTCATTACATACAGCTCTCGTCTACATATCTTTATTCATTTATAGTTTTTGGTTATACTCGCTCTCCTCACTCTACCTCTGCATAATTGCATTTCCTTATTGCGTGGTCTATATTTATTTCGGTGGCCTTTTGTATCAATATTTACATATTTAACTAAAGTAAAGAGTTTTAGTTTGTGTTATACAGTTTCTTACCGCTGCAGTATTGTAAATGTTAAATTCTTAATATGACCTACTTTTAACTCGCCTCTCTTGTAAGGATAGAAATAGGATAAAAATGTACATTCAAATATCTTACTAGTGAAGAATATCGTTTAAACAAAAAAATCAATGAAGATGGTGAGAAATCAAGATAGTACCATTTAAAGCAATGAATTTCCAGTAATATAGTTGTTCTCGTATAATAAGGTATTATTGTTATTAGTCATTTACTATGGGGTTGAACAATAACAGATGACCGATTGCAAAATTCAATTCAATCCATTCAATAGATTAACACAAAAAATATTTGAAAAAATCACTCAAAATGTGTACATATTCACATACTTCACTCTCCTTAAAGTGACGTTCACCTTTTATGACAAGTTGAGTACGTCTTAATGTTCGTTTATCACCATCGTCGAAAACTAAACAGTAAAAAGAATGAAAACATTTTGGATGTAAGTGATGTTTGACAATCACTGAATTCTAATTAAAACATTATCTGATCGTTATGAACAATAAAGATAGTTAAAGTTTACAAAATCATTTATATTACAGTTTAAGAGAAATCTTTCTACAATTAAATAATAGACGAGAATCACTCTTATAAGCGTACATACATCCTGGAGTTTTTAAGTAGCATTACCTTAGATGGATGAATCCTCAACAACTATGTAAAAGTTGGCCTACTAGATAGTTATACCTATTTTGAGAAACCCAAAAATACCATCACGGGTCCCAGATCATGGTAGATAAAGGTTTGAATATGAGATTCTATATATGAGCTAAACGTTTAAATCAACCAAGGTAAAATATTATAAATTTAATACAACTTTTGGATTTCGTTGAAAAGTTTCTACGTCTATAGCATGAATAATGATAAGACTGTGATGGATGAAATCCGTATTTATATGATTAGAGTCAAACCAGTATATGCTCATTTTTTACCAGCAGTTATGCTACATTTAAATAAGGATACTTTGTTACAATAGTTAGGATGATTTAGAAAAGTTTGTCACATTTAGATACAAAATAAACGATACCAAAACTTGTATCTCTGAACATGGTAGGATAATCGCAAAAGTTTTAAAATTAAAATGGCTTTCTGAAACTAAGGACATGATATTAACTATCACCTACAAATTTTTCGAGCTTTCTTGATAGGATACTGTGAAGATCTCTCGCATTACGACCCATCTACTTACATTGTTTATTCTCCGGACACTAGTTCACTTGACTAGTCCCCAAATCCAAACACAGTTGAACAGGAACGTAATTATATTCCAAATAAACAAGAGTGAATGAGGGCAAGATTCACAGCAAGAAAATATTATATTTATAATTTTACACGAGAGGACTCTAAAGTCTTCATCAATTATCCACTAGTTCTGGTTAGCCAAAAAATCGCCAATCACTGTGCTCCAAAACAATCCCGCACAGGACATGCTTTGGTCCAACCAACATCCCGTTAAGAGATACTAGTCAGTAATTGAAGAACGGATCGAAAGATGGCTGCAACTACTCCGTGTCTTCATGATTACCCTTCTTAGCTGCAACCATAAAGGCTACAAATACATTAAGCCACGAAAATACGACAACGTCGGAATATATTTAAATACAAACATTTATCAGTCCAATTGAAATAATTTAAAAAACGTACCAACAGTGTAAATACTGGAATCTGTAACACGTATCACTATGGCAGCTTGTTCATTAGATAATGCTGTTTCGTTAGCGACTCGAACCACCACTTCATTTCCAATGACAGGAGATCCAGATATCAAACAGGTTTCATCAACGGAGACATAGGACTAGTGGAATGAAAAATGACAAGACGAAATTAGTAATTCTAAATACTTCTTTTGTGATTGTGGCAGCAAGAGCTTGAATTCTCAAGTGGTCTGATGTATTAATAAGAAGTCTAGGCTACTCAAAATATAGTTCGGTATGAGGATGAAAACTGCTTGCTAGTCTAGTTACATCAACTTTATATGTATACTAACTGACAAAACATGGTCTTATTTCCCTACATTTTTCTTCGCTTTTCATTAGCATTGTGATAAAAAGAGTGAATTTACGTAGTGAGCGAAAAACGCTCTAGTATCAGCAGAATGAATTAGATTCTTATAGCGCAGAACAGTTTATAAACCGAGTGACTTATATACAATTATCAAAGTTCTCACCTAACAGGATTATACTGTTGGAAAATTTTAAGTAGACCACATCTCCTAGGATGAGACACATCTGTGGAATCGAAAGTCACTTAATGAAATACGAACCAACAAATAGGTTAAAGTAAAAGATAATAACTAAATGAAACACAACACGTGCAGGTATTGGGACCATTTCTGTCAGCTACAACGTAGGACCAGGTACATATATGCATCGGTCCAAGTTGCTACACCCCATTAGTACAACAAGATGAACATCAAATTCATAAAAGTGGTTACTTCAATGGTAGTGATATATAAGAGATTGTGTATAAAGATATCATACGGAAAGAATTATTCGTAGAAATAAAGCTATAAAACAGTTTTAATCTCACAGTTTGAGGGAAGACAGAAAGTGTATACACCTATGCCATTATAATCAATTCTAAACCATGTCACCCAGAGTCTCCAACCACTGGTTACGATAGTCACGTGTACCCCAATCAAGTAGTCTGCATCTACCAACATGGCTAAGACCAGAAGTTAGTGACTTCAAGCACTGATGCCACGTTTTGGTTTGACCGACCCTTACTCTCTTCCAACCATCCCTAACACTAGTCAGCATTGCGCGTCGTGGTAATCGGTGTTTAGGCATACGTAACACGTGACCCAACCATCTCAGTCGGTGAAGATTTACAACCTCATCAACTGACTAACCATCATTCCCTAATACCATGTGTCTAGCCTCACTATTACTTATGCGGTGATCCCAGCAGATGCGAGAAATATTTCTAACACGTCTGTTATCAAATGCTAGTAACTTACAAGTATCTTCTACTCTTAATGGTCACGTTTCGCAGCCGTAAAGTAGAACAGAGCGAACTGCTGCACAGTATACTCGTCCTTTAATTCACAGGCGGATATCTCGTTTTTGCCATAGGTGATGTAAGTTGGCAAAAGCCAAACGAGCTTTTTGAATCCGTGTTGAGATTTCGTTAAACACCAACCCATTAGGGCTGATAAGACTTCCAAGATAAGTGAAGTTGTCAACGCGTTCGACTACTTCACTCCCAATCCTTAGTTCAGGTGTTGACACAGGCCAGTCCTGGAGCAACAGTTTACATTTAGAGAGGGAGAAACGCATCCCAAACATCCTGGCATTATTATTCAGTTCTAACAGAAGACTCTGCATTTTGTCAGTGTCTTCACCAAATAGGACTATGTCATCTGCGTATTCTAAGTCGCTTAGTTAACCTCCTGGTAGAATATTAATGCTCGAGAATTTAGTCGACGAGAGTGTTATTTCCAGCAACAGGTCTATAATGAAGTTAAACAAAAATGGAAATAGTGGACAACCTTGTCGAACACCACTTGAGGTTGTAAAATCAGACGACAGTTCGCCATAAGCTCTCACTCGACAGGTAGTGTTCGAGTAAAGAGCCTTCAAAAGGTTTATGTACTTCTCAGGTACACCTCTCAATGGCAGACACTACCACAGAACATCTCGGTCTACAGAGTCAAATGCTGCTTTCAATTCAAGAAAAACTATCATTGTCGGACGCCGATAAACATATCTGTGCTCTAAAATCTGACGAATGGTGAATATGTGGTCGATGCAGCCACGACCACGTCTGAAGCCAGCCTGATTTTCTCGTGTTTGCAGTTCACGAGTCTTACTTAGTCACCCGATAATTATTGAGGCAAGTATTTTAGATGCTATGTTAGTCAGACTAATCCCTCTATGGTTATCGCAGGATGATTTTGACCCCTTTTTATTTTTCTTGGGACAATAAGTGATTGTGACAAGTTGGATGGGATTACGTCCAAATCCCAGATTTTAGCCAGAATATTAGTCAACTTAGTCGCTAAAATTGGACCACCATATTTAAAGACCTCTGGAGCCAATCCATCTGGACCAGCTGCTCTTCCTCGTTTCAGATTAGTTATAGCCTTTTGAACTTCAACTAGTCTGAGGACGTACTTCAATGTTCCGTTTAGGCTGTCTGGGAATGGCGAGTAGTTTCAGAGTAGCTGAACTGTTCCTTAAAATGATCTGCCCATCGTTTTAAACGTCCGACCTGAGAGCAAATAAGAGTGTTGTCTTTTTCCGAGATCGTCTCACTTACACTGGACCCCTTGATTCCGGTTTCTTTCATTAGTCTGAAAAGCTGTCTTGCGTTACCTACGACCGCTGCCTTTTCAATCTTTTTTTGCTTTCGTTACCCACCACTGCTCATGGTCAATCCTTAGACTTTTGGTTAACCTAGATCTGGTTCGTTTTTGTTCTTCATTGTGTTCAGAGCCTAATGGGATGAGTTTACGAGAATCTGTAAGTTCAATAGACTTAGTAGAAATCCATTGATTTTTCGTAACCCTTTGGTTTAAATCACTAATAGATCTCACTGCTGCTTCCACAGCTGTTCGTATACCTTTCCAAGCAACATGTGGGTCATTCTTATTTTCAGAACTACTTAAATGTGACCTCAGTTGTTTCTGGACCTTATTGTTGGCTTTACCATCACTGAGTTCAATCCTAATAGGTCTTCTTAGTGTGATTTTTTCTAAGTCCAGTGAGGCACAAGCAAATGCATGCTCGTTTTAAAGCATGATCGGAATACAAACAGGTATTCCAGAACGAGCGACAGTCTTCTATCGAGCCTCTCCAGCAATGACTGGTGGCGATATGGTCTATTTGAAACCGCCGGTGGTTTGATGCAGGTGATCGCCATATTAGACGACATCTCTCCTCATGCTTAAAATTAGGGTTTGCTAAAAATAAACGATTTTCTGAGTACAGTTGCAGCGGACGACTACCATTATCTATTCGCTGAGCCGGAATACTAAAATACACGCCTAAATATCTTTCTGTTTGGTTTAAGCTACCTATTTGGACATTAAAGTTACCTGCTACGAGTACTATGAGAGTTTAGCTTTGTGAAGAAGTTCAAAAAGCTTTCTGTAAGTCATCTTTCACTTCATCCGGGCTGCAATCAGTGGGAGCATAGGCGGACACGACGAAGAGGCAACGACCGCTGTCCATATCCTTCCGAGTTCTTAAGGAGCCATTCAGCCGGACAGCACATAGGCAACTTTTAACAGGGATTTATTCTAATAGTGCTTGTTCTGTCCTCGTACTCAGTGCTATGCCTACACTCACCATCGGGTCGTCAGACAAACGGGGGGCGTGTCACGTCGGCTCTCCGTTTTCGCGAGGTGAGGTCAAGTGGATGACCACACTGGGATCCTGTATGCGTGTTTCGGAGACACACCATACATCAATGGTACGAGATTCTAGGGTTTTAGCAAAGTAGGCCTGTTGACCGATTTGGCATAGGGTACGAACGTTGAAGGCTCCAATGTGTAGTTTGGAGCGAGGTTTAAGTAGACCTGGGACAGCGTTTCGCGCACTAGAATCGTTGGCCATGGTGACACTTGAGGAGGGAACCGGAACAGGAAGTTTAGTGTTGAAAGTCAAGGTAGAAGGAATAGTAGGAATTGAAGGAGACTGATTATGAATACGGTGGTCTTGAGTGCTGTTAGAGGTATGAGGGCAGTTATCACTTCCCGGTAGTTTTTGTGTTAGCTCCGTTCTTCAAAAAAAACCTTACCGCCGGAGACGGATATCCGTGGGATAAGGCGAGGTGTGCATTTTTAGGGCCGACCTTTTCTAACCCCACCCCTCCTTGTGGGAAGGCAGCATCGCTGTCATGCTGGTTGTCTGAAGGAAACACCTTACTGCCATCACACCTCTGTACAGTCGACAGTACGACTTCGCCTTCGGACCTTGGGTTTGCTGTTTTTAGTCTCACCGCTCTTTAACCGACCTGTCTGGCATGGTAGAACCTTGAGGAACGATTGTTCCAGCCAGTATAGCTCGATTGGTTCATCACGATAGGCAAGCCCGACCACCACGTCAAGGTAGGCTGAAAACCCATTTATACTGCAATCAATATACCTCTTAGTTCTGGTTTTTACGTACTTCATGTTAGATCTCTCACTGCCTACACTTAGTTACTTAAGAGTGATGGATGAGTTTTCGTAGAAAAAATATATGGAAACCAAACAATATTTGTGGAAAAAGATGCAATCAGATTACCTTATTAGTTTTTAGCTGGACACGGAGACGGAATTTTAGATCCACGTGATCTACTGTTGCCTCACAAAATGCACCTCGATACTTGGCACTTACAGCAGTACCTACGGTCAAAAATGACGAGGGAAAACACTGTCCAGACCCAGGAGCATCAGAGTTTAATGCTTCGTTCTCAGGAACGGAACTGACTTGAGTTTTGTCCATACTGATTGATGACTAACAAATTAACAAGGTTAAAAGTTAATTATTATTTTAAAAACTAAAATAAAACTGAACTTAAAAATGACCTTATAAACTTTTACATATGAAAATACTTTCAGCAATAAATACGGGTTCTCATAACACAGCCAATAGATTTCTTGGACTACATAACCTTTAGTAAGAATTAATTTGTTTTTGTAATATTCCAGAAAAATGAAAAAGAAAGAGCGACCGACAATAATAACAAAATTTAGAAAATTGCAACAATTCACAAGTTAGTTGGTCACTCTTCAGTGACTGATTAATCCGTTAAAGCCACTCCAAGGTCATATCAGTGTAGTTATGTTTAACTGCACCAGTGAGTGACTTGATCTCAATCATGAAAGTATGGTATTCCCTGAGGTAAAAAGCACTTTTGAGACATTCCAGAAGGTATGAAATCTACATTTAGGGTTTTACAAAAATTTCCCCAAATTAATCGTTCAAATTACAAACACTTGAACAAGCCTTGCTAAATTTTAAGGTTTTTGACTACCTAATAGTAAAACGTCTACTTAATGTCATGCAAATAGACAGATAAAAACGCAAGACCTGGCATACGTACATGTAAGTTCGAATCACTATGCTCCGCATAGGCATATCAAGACTAAATGAACGAGACGAAAAGTAAACCAACTGAAGTAACAGAAAATATATTAATGGGAAAATAAACGTAATAAATATAGTTAGAAAGATGCAAATAGAAAATCCTAACGAAAAGTATGAGTCAACCTTAAACTGGACAGAGAATGATAATAAAGGATACATTTGTATTACCTAGACTGATTTTGAGCTAGAGCACATTGGCATTGTTACCTCACAAACACCAATTACTCCACTCTCTGAAGTCAGACTAAGCGTTACTAGAAACTGGTTAAAAAAATATGTTTTGAATCAGGAACAGAAACATATCTAGACATTGTTCAAACACTTGATGGAGGGTGAAGAAATGATTAATGGACGCACAAACCGAATGAAAAGAGGCATGATCTCTAACCGTTAGCGTTTCACGTGCTTTGAACAATCGGCTCATTATGACTGTGATACGCTAAAAAGACTCAGTGAGATCCCACAATGGCTCATGATTGCATATTAGGTGAAATGCTGATGTGCATGAGGGAGTGGAAGTGAGCTATTCATTGAAGGCAGGTTGCCTGAATGTTATCAAGGTGAATCTGGCTAGCTATACATACAAACGAGTTATAAATACTGCTATTTTGCCCCCAAATGGCCTGGTACGGCCGAGAATGGGGAGAGTCTACTCTCCCTCTCGAAATGCTCTCACATTGCCAGCGAATATATAGCCTCTGACAGGGAAGTCCTACTCACTGCCTTCTCGTGGCGGGGGTGTTCTTTACGAAATTGAGAGGACGAAAAGCGAATGTCCGGCGCTTTAACCGGGTTGGTGGACACGGAGGGTCCACCTAGGGGAGTTAGAAAACCCTAATTCCAAACCAATGGTGCACATGAGCTCCAGTATCCTGATGGAACGAATGGCGGACGAACCTGTCATTGGTCAACGGCTACCATGGGACTGCATCTCCTTACGATGCTCCACTACCTTGTGGATCAGACCTTTTGGTCAAAGGCTCGGAGTGTGGCCCCCTAAGAAAACCACCTGCTTCGGTTTGGGCACCCGGGCAGTATCACAGCCCACACACAAATAAATGAAATGATGAATTCTATTGACGATACTATTACTGCTCATACTAGAAGCAAGACAATTTACATTATTATTATTATTACCTTTATTATTATTATTATTATTATTATTATTATTATTATTATTTACCATATCGCTAACTCACCCCCTTTTATCCCCAATTTGTGTAACCTTACTTTTCAACTTATGCAGCAGCTCGCCCATGGTGGAAAATCTGTCCTATCTAAACGATCTCCACTCACTGTCTGGTTGAAAGTGAATGCTTCCACCGATAATGAATACTGAGGCAGTCTTTCTGAAACCACGTACGCCGTTCAAGCTGGCCTCCTTCAACGTTCGCACACTAATGCATATCAGACAACAGATAGGGCTGGCTATGTCTTTGGAAGGTCTTAATGTTGATGTTTGTTGTCTATCCGAGACCCGTATTCAAGACTCTAGTGAAGTACTACAAATCCGCTCTCCATCTGTCGCCTCGAAAAGCTTGTTCCACGTGCGCTTATCCGGGGACCCTGTGGCATCTTCGTCTGGTCTTGCTGGCGTTGGTGTCGCACTAAGCGCTAGAGCTGAGGCAGCACTAATCGATTGGATACCCATTAACAGTCGGTTATGTGCTGTTAGATTAGAAAGTTCCATCAAAGTGAGAAGAAATCGGCGTGAGAAACGGTGTCTTTTCATCATCTCTGCCTATGCTCCGACAGATTGCAGCCCGGATGCAATCAAGGATGAGTTTTACCATCAGTTAACAGTTCTTCTCCAGAAAGCGCGTTCGACAGATATTGTAGTGCTAGCCGGAGACTTGAATGCACAGGTCGGGCGTCTAGGCACAGAAGAGAGTCGTCTAGGTGGCCGATGGGGACTTGTTGGTCGCCGGACAGATAACGGGGACCGTTTGCTGCAACTGTGCACAGACCACAACCTGTTTCTGGCCAGCACTAACTTCCGGCACAGTCATCGCCGGTGTGCCGCCTGGCGTCCCCCCTCTGCATTCCAAGCCTGGACTCAGATTGATCACATCGCGATCAGCTACCGCTGGCGTGGCTGTGTACAAGACTGCCGCTCCTTTTGGAGTACCTATCTGGAGTCTGATCATGCCCTGGTCTGCGCCAATCTCACCTTACTTTTCAGTGGCCGAAGGATTGACCACCACCAACGGATTGATGTTAGTAAACTGGCTGCAACTTCTGTTGCAAGTAAGTATCGAGCGGAGCTAGCCTCTAGGCTAGCTACCACCCCACCGAAAAGTATAGATGAGCATTGGTTGCTTCTTCACGACGCCATGAAAATGGCGAGTAAAGCCGCTTGCGGCTTCGCGAAACGTCCCGCTTACAAGCAACGGTTTCTTCTGGCTCCTTACAACTGATGGAAGCCCGTCAGTCTACTCCGGGTGACCGTGAGTTTGACCATAAACAAAGGCTGTTACGTAATGAAATCGGGCAAAGCTTGCGTAAGGACCGGGAAGCCTGGTGGTCGAAGCGTGCTAATGAGATGGAAGCAGCAGCTGCATCTGGTAACTGCCGGAAGCTCTTCCAACTCATCCGAGCCACTGGCAGCAAGAAGTCTGGTGTGAGTGAAACAATCTACGAGGATGACGGGATGCCAATCACTAACATCTGTCGACGTCTTGGACGATGGGCGGAATTTTTCGAAGGGCAGTTCAACTGGCCTGCTGATCCGGCAACATCAACCAGCTTGTCCTGCCCCCCATGGCCGATGACGACTGATCCACCAAACGAGACGGAAGTCCGCAAGGAACTCCAACTCTTGAAACGTTATAAATCACCTGGCCCAGATGACTTACCTCCGGCTCTTTTTAAAGATGGTGGTGACCTTCTGACTAAGGAATTGACTGTGTTGTTTGGATAGGTTTGGGAGCAAGAAAGTGTTCCAACATCATGGAATGAGTCAATAGTCGTCCCTATCTTTAAAAAGGGTTCACGTTGTTCCTGCAATAACTACCGGGGGATAAGTCTACTTTCGATTGCGTCCAAACTATTGGCTTCTATCATTCTTCGTAAGTTGTTTAAAACCCGAGAACGATTGGCTCGCGAGGAGCAGGCTGGTTTTCGTTCTGGTCGAGGATGCATTGATCACATCTTCACCCTCCGCCAAATGTTAGAACACCGTCATACTTATCGCAGGCCAACAATCGTAGTGTTTCTTGATATCAGGGCGGCCTTCGATTCGTTGGACAAGACTGTTCTCTGGGATTGTCTATTGAAGAAGGGTGTGCCTGAGAAGTTCATTAACATCTTAAAGGCCCTGTATACGAACACCTCAGGCAGAGTGAGGGCATACAAGACTGGCAGGATTCTCATCCTGTACTCACCCTGGATGGTGACCAGATTGAAGTAGTTGAGAAGTTCGTGTATCTAGGTAGCTATATAAGTGCTGGCGGTGGCGTGAGTGATGAGATTGATGCACGTATAATGAAAGCCAGAGCGGCTTATGCCAATCTGGGCCATCTTTGGCGCCTTCGTGATGTTAGTCTGGCTGTAAAAGGTCGGATCTACAACGCGTCGGTGAGAGCAGTTTTGCTCTATGCTTGTGAAACCTGGCCTCTCCGAGTTGAGGATGTTAGACGTCTCTCTGTGTTCGATCATCGTTGTCTCCGAAGGATTGCTGACATCCAGTGGCAACACCATGTTAGTAATGCAGAGGTTCGGCATCGTGTGTTCGGGCGCAGAGACGATAATTCAATTGGTGTCACCATCTTGAAACACCGACTTCGGTGGCTTGGACATGTTTTACGAATGTCGTCCCAGACACTTCCACGTCGTGCATTATTTGCCGACCCTGGGACTGGTTGGAGAAAGCGGAGAGGAGGTCAGTGTATGACATGGTGTCGTGGCATGAAAGAAAGCTGCAAAGGGCTAGCTTTTGTTGGTCCTTCACGACTCCCTGGTTGGGGTCCGAGAGATAGTGCAACACAGTGGCTAGAGACGTTATCAGATCTGGCTCAGAATATAAGCCAGTGGCGATATTGCTGTAACCTTCTTCTACTTTCTACATGAAGAGTGGTTCTAACTTTCTTAACTGAAAGAGTCTTCCGGTTGTACATTTCAGCCCGCCTTATCTTTTCATCCCTTCTCTTCCTACTTTCATTATTTTGTGTGGCGCATATGTATCTGGTGCCCTTTTGTACCAATATATATGTGTTTAAATAAATAAATAAATAAAAATTTTGCTTTAGGTTAGTCAGTCAGCTACAACGTAGGACCAGGTACACATATGGATCGGTCCAAGTTACCATACCTCATTAGCACAAAAAGATGTATACCGAATTCATAGTAGTTAATTTAGCGGTGGTAATATATAAAAGAAAGGTTGTATATAGGGATATAGTAAAGGAAGAAAGGCAGATATGAAGCAGTTTTAATCTCACAGTTTGAGGGAAGACAGAAAGTGTATACACCTATGCCATTATAATCAATCCTAAACCATGTCACCCAGAGTCTCCAACCACTGGTTACGATAGTCACGTGTACCCCAATCAAGTAGTCTGCATCTACCAACATGGCTAAGACCAGAAGTTAGTGACTTCAAGCACTGATGCCACGTTTTGGTTTGACCGACCCTTACTCTCTTCCAACCATCCCTAACACTAGTCAGCATTGCGCGTCGTGGTAATCGGTGTTTAGGCATACGTAACACGTGACCCAACCATCTCAGTCGGTGAAGATTTACAACCTCATCAACTGACTAACCATCATTCCCTAATACCAAGTGTCTAGCCTCACTATTACTTACGCGGTGATCCCAGCAGATGCGAGAAATATTTCTAACACGTCTGTTATCAAATGCTAGTAACTTACACGTATCTTCTACTCTTATTGGCCACGTTTCGCAGCCGTAAAGTAGAACAGAGCGAACTACTGCACAGTATACTCGTCCTTTAATTCACAGGCGGATATCTCGTTTTCGTCATAGGTGATGTAAATTTTGCTTTAGGACAATACACCTAACTACAAGTCTTTGTGTTCTTTCTGTGAACAAGTCAGTTGGTCAAGTTTTAGATGTGTGGTTCAGTAGAGCGATGGATCTTACCAAACAAACTACTAGATCTTCACCTGAATGGAAATCACATGCAACAAGCAAGGCTCATAGGAAGATGTAAACAAGAATTTCTTCAATTTAGAATGACAAAACACTCAGTTTCCTGAAATTTTTAAAGTCAGTTCCCTAGTCGAAATCTTGCCTTTCTCTTCGGGAAGTCAATCAGTCGTAAGCAAGGTAATACTGGACATAAATGTACATTAGCTCAAGTTGTCAAACTTCATGTCAGTATGATGGGAATAAAATAACGTATGAACCAACAAAGATGGTCAAAAATAATTATATATATATATATATAGAGAGAGAGAGAGAGTTAAGAAGAAATAGAACTAAGGAATAGGAAGTAGGGAGTAATATTTAGATTAAGGATTCAGACAAAGATCACCAGTGAGTGCATCTACGCCGCTGGAATTGGTCTTCAGTCGAGCCATCGGTGAAGTCTAACCACTGATTAAGATTAACTAATGGGCCTGAATCATCAAACCTGTACCTCTAAATACGGCTCAGACCAATAGGGAATGACCTCAACAGTCAGTACCACGTGGTTTGGTCTTCCTAAGGTTTTCTTACAACCTGCATTGATTCGTTTTTATGCACGTAACTTACGAAGTAAACGTTTAGTACTCGAATATGTTATCACCTTTAAATACATCCTAAAAAATATTTTTGAAGGCAGACAAAGCTTTTAGTAGGGTTGATCTTGTACTTTATCCGAGCTACACTCAGGATCATAAGCAGAGGCTATGAAAATTAAGAAGAATCCATCTATACCCTTTCGAGTTCTAAGTGGACCGTTTGACTGAACAAATCAAAAGTTACTGTCAACCATGCATGTACCGCTTTTGGTTTGAAACCCATACTTTTACCTTCAAAACCGAAATAAGTTTCTGTCGAGACTACAGGTACGTAAAATGGTTCAAACATTGAAGGCTCCAATACACATTTTGGAAGACGGTATCAGTAGACCAGGAATACGATTCTGTTAACGCAGGTAGCAAATGCAGATGTAACTAAAGGATGGTTGATAGTAGGTATGGAAGAAGTATCGAGAAACGAGTAAACGGTTTGATCGTAAGCAACAAAAATGTTGTTACAAGATTAGGAGTTTGTTACTTTCCCGTTGTTTATACCGTGAAGGAGGTTGGGAGAGACTATAATTTATGGACGAACCAATCAGACTTACGACCAAAGGTTTTGAATTTTGGCGCGAAATCAATTTATTCATTTGGCTAAATATAGTTTTGGCATTATAGCTGATGTCAGTTCGTGATGAAAACGCTAAATCTAATCCTTAACCCTGTCAACTGTAAATATTAGTCCTAATTCCTCACACTGGTTTATAACCTTCATTTAGCCGTAGTATGTAGGCGGACATTCTCAAGGTATTTTTAGCGTCGCTTAAAGGTTGTCCATAAATGATAGTCTCGCCGGAAATTGCTTTAGCAGTGGTCTTATGGACCACAGAGAGTGACTCCAAAGCTCAAAGGAAAGCTGCTTGAGACTGATCACACATAATCCTCACATGAAGTTTCCGCAGCATTAGTCCTACACTTTTTGAACCTCAAGCACCGTAGATCTGTGGAATATTGTTGAGCTTAATGTTTACAGACCATCTTCTTGTTGTGATACATTATTATTCCTGGGAAACACCTTACCTTTGTTTCATACCAGAACATTTAATAGTAAGTCACTTGTCTTAAATCTTCAATTTGATATTGGTCTCATCGCTTCCCTACCGACCCGTCTAAGATCGTCATTATAGGCAACGCCGACTACCGCATTCAAGTACCAGCCCTGTTTAAGCTCGAAAAGACGAACAAACAGACATAATCAACATAGAGTCTGACATAGATGTGTTGGTCCAAGCTGCCATACAGGTTTGAAAAGAACCAAGTAACTTATAACGTTTAGCAATTTTTTCGTTTTCGTTTTCACGTTAAGAGAACTAGAGTACATCGATCACAAACCATGAACCAATCAAGTCAAAGCTTTAGGGAGAATAAATCTGATAAATTGTTCCTTCAAATCTTTAATCAGCGTCCTAAGAATACTGGAATGTTGTTTCAGACAGTTTCAAACACTACACAATGTGAGCTTAATCGTATCAGATTTTGGGAAGTAATGTTGTAAACAACTGACTTCCTAGTTGGGCGACGACGGGAGGTGGGGACAAACCCTAGGCTATCTTGTTAAAAGTATGTCCTAAGTTAGGTTCCAGGAATTCCATTAGGATGCGTTAATGACGGTCGATTTCAACCAGTAATCACCAATATTTCAAATACAATTTCACTGCCCCAATATTTTTAGATCTCTGAAAATGTTATAACACTAGATAGTCTGAAATATCATTGAAAACATTCCAACAATGTTACTACACGAAGTATCATGACAGGCCTTAATATACTCTATATTTCACCATTTTGGCTTTTAGACGACCTCGCGAAAGCTATTACAGCCTGACAGATAGGATACACTTTACATATATTCCCAATCCTCACTTTATCTATTTAACTTCATATATTCTTACCTTAACTACTAGAATTCGAGACACACTCTTATTACTAGCTAATATTGGAGAAAGAATAAGAATTGGTAATATGCAGAGAAATTTAAAGCCAATAATTTACGGCAACACAAGTTGTATGTAAAAGACTTTTCTATGCATAGGGAATCCAGTTTACGGTTGGGAGAAATAAGGTTGAAAAACTGGAAATAAGTTCGAAACAGAGGATAACTAGGATGAATACAGGGGAACGGATACTATTATGCTCCCATTTTTCGCCGAAATTTTCCATGTCAAATTGTTCCATTCAGAGATGAGATAATTTAGATAACTTCGAGTCGTTAACATGGATGTTATGCGTTATCGATTTTGAGTCGGACAAGATTTTATTAGAACACTCTGTAACTAAAACATCTCTAAGGAAATGTGTTGGTATAAAAACTTACCGTACTCATTTCGAGCAGAGACACCCAGAATTAAAGCCCATAATGTAACGCAGAGTCTTAAAATGCCCCAGTTCTCCAATAACAATGTCAGAACGAGCACTTTAGTTCCCAATTTTAACAGGAAGACGAATCATTAGTTCCTTGGTACCTGTGTATTAATAGTATGATGTTCATGATCATGAGACGATACAATACATGCTAGTCAGGCGCGCTATTTAAATCATTATTATTATCTTGATCGTTTATTACTACTGTTTTAGCCTTATCAAAATTTATTTCATTTAAAGTAATCGCTAAGAGAATATGCTTAACAAACCTATTTTGTGGCAGATAATCCCGACTGGTGCTGGTATCATAACCAGTATGGCAAGTCTTCTAGAAATTACAGGAAACCATGTAATTACCCGAACCCGAAATCGAACTACACGAAAAACAACCCGGGAAACTTCCAAGCCGGCACGCGTTAACAGCAATCGTAACCGGCGAACATAGACGTCTTTTATACGTCACGGATGCGACTACGAGAATCCGCTACCTCATCGACACTGGAGCAGAAGTTAGCGTTCTTCCCGCAAATTCTAACGAAAGGCTTCACAAGTCTGTTTTAAGTTAACAGGCGGCAAACGGAAAACCGATCGCCACATACGGGAAAAGGTACGTTTACCTTAACGTTGGTTTACGTAAACCCATCCCCTGGATTTTCGTTGTTGCAGATGTTTGTGTGCCAATCACTTGCATACACCTGTTACAATACCACAATCTACTCATCGACACACGCAAACGAAGGTTAATAGACGGAAACACCAAGTTATCTGTTTGCGTAACTCCTTTTTCTGATTGCAGATTATCTCCAGTCACAATTAAGCACACCATAGACCCATTATTTCAACTATTACTCAATAAATATTCCGAGATATATCAATCACAACCGAAATTGCAGTGTGCAACCAGCAATGTTACACATCATATCTCGACTACAGGACCACCTGTATTCTCGAAAGCACGACGACTGGCTCCGGAAAAGCTAAGGTTGGCTAAAAACGAATTCCACCACATGATAGACTTAGGAATAATTCGACCATCAAATAGTCCATGGTCATCCACATTGCACATGGTCCCTAAAAAGGACAGCAACGATTGGCGGTCAACTGTCTGAACGCTGAAACCATTCCCGATCGTTACCCGTTGCCCCACATTCACGATTTGACAGCTACCTTGAAAGGTACAACTGTCTTTTCGAAAATCGACTTGGTTAAAGCTTATAAACGAATTCCTATGCCTGCTGATGACATTCCTAAAACCGCCATCATCAATCCTTTCGGTCTTTACGAATTTTTGCGAAAGCCTTTTGGTTTATGAAATTCTGCTCAAACATTCCAAAGGTTTATAGACGACGTCTTCCGAGGTCTCAACTTCGTACATGTGTATGTTGATGGCTGTCTAATAGCAAGTCCGGACAAAGAATCACATCTCAAGCATCTGGACATTGTTTTCGATCGACTCCAAAGGCATGGCATTACTGTAAACATTCAGAAATGCCAAATCGGAACCAACTCCTTAGACTTCTTAGCACACACTATTGATTCCCAAGGCATCCGATCCCTTAGAAGCAAAGTGGCGGCCATTCTGGATTACCCAGAACCGACCACGATCAAGCAGTTACGAACTTTCAACGGACTTGTAAGTTTCTACAGACGGTTCATACCCAAATGCGCATCCCTTATGAAACCGTTAACCGACCAACTTCGTCGAAATGCAAAATCAATTAGTTTGGACGACATAGCCCGTAAAGCATTCTCCACAGTTAAGGAACACATAGCTAAGGCAACCCTGCTTGCTCATCAGGACACTCAAGCGCCCATTAGTATCACCGTAGACGCATCCGACTAAGCAATCGGAGGAGTCTTACAACAATGGGTTAACAACTCGTGGCAACCTTTAGGGTTTTTCTCGAGACGGTTGCTAGACGCGGATTCTAGGTACAGCACGTTCGGTAGGGAACTCCTAGCTATGTATTGTGCTGTACGGCATTTCCAACATTCCATCGAAGGAAGAGAATTCACACTTTTTACCGATCAAAAACCTCTTTAAGTTCATCTTCAGACAAGTACTCACCGCGAGAGTCTCGACAACTCGACTACATTTCGCAGTTTACTTCAGACATACAACACATTTCTGGAGCTAACAATGTAGTCGCAGACGCCTTGTCCCGAATAAGTTCCTTGAACAGTTTCCAAGGAATCGACCTTCTTAAACTTGCTCAGCTTCAAAAAGAAGACATTGATCTTCAGCACGAGTTGACCTCGATAACTTGTTATATTTTGTAAGTTGAACGCTAGATTCAGATCCTAAGCTATTCTTATAACCCCAAGGCTAACACTACTCAGCGAATTTAACACCAGTAAGAAGACACGAGTATGAAAGAAACACTTTACTGCAAGGTTCATTGATGTACAGAAAATACAGGGATTTTATAGTAATAAAGAGACCTTGAGTTTACATAGTAACAGTGTGTTGAACAGCCAATCAGGATCTCGTTATTTTAGTAACATAGCTTCTGACTAATCGCTGATTGGTTGGGGCTCTTTATGAGCCTCTGGAGGCTCTGTTAGAGTTCTCTGTAAGCCGACTCAACACCTCCTCTTTTTTTGAAAATTCGGGTAGGTATCCAGACTGCATTTGCCGACTTCATCCTCCCCCACGAAACAATGTTTGATCCTCACACCTCCAAATTACAATTAATATGACTTTATTTAGGACATATTTCTCGCATTGAATAGAGTATTCACTGCGGTTGACTAAATGATAATGAGCGACACTTGACTTTAGGTCATCAGAATTTGGCTCTTCTGAAACATTTCCAACAAATTCATTAAGATTTTCATTGGAGGATATTTGATAGCTAGGGGAATCATCATCTAATAAAATTGCCTTAGGTTTTTGATCAGCATTTGATTCAACCGACTTATTTTCGTCATCTTCATAAGAACTTTCATCAAAATTATGTGCACCATTCCAGCTATCTTGGCCAATATCATGTAACCCGTAGTTTATTTCTGACTGAAGTTTGTCTTCAGAGATCGGGGGATTCAATGGTGCTTCATTTGACTCTGGGCTCAAAGCTTTGTCTACAGAACTTTCTTTTTCTTTGACATCTGATACTGTCACAGTTTCATGTGCCTTTAGCAAGATACTGTCATGCTCTGAACCGGCCAACTTACCCATTTTGCCTTTTTCATCAGGAATGAAGGGAGTTGAACCCTCAACTGAGCGTTCTTCTGAGACTGCCATTTTTGTACCGTTATCTGCATTACAAATAGTTTATTTCCTGAAATATTTTGTTTAGTGAAAAACTTGTCCAAAACTGTTTCAAATACATGCTGCTGGAATGCCAGCATCTACTGTTGCCGGTGCTCTAATATTGTCAGCGTCTGGTCTAGAGAAATCGTCATTTTTTTACTGATAATACTAATAACCTCAAAAATTCGCCGGCAATTATTAAAGCTTGTTTAATTCCAAAATCACGTCTCGATTGCTGTATTTCTTTTTGCCAGAATCCCAGTCGACAATTGTTGTGTTTTTTTCTCTTGTGTACCAAAATCCCCGACTACAATTGATTTTTTATTTGCCAAAATCCCCATCGCCACTGTTACGTCTGGCCGGTTAGAACGCTATATTCGCTTCCCTAAGCTAGTTCCGTACCCCCGAGCTAAAACTATACACCGACTTGAAGACCAGAAAAAAGGCACAAAGTGTGAGGGAAGCACTTTACTACAGGGTTCATTAGTGTACAGAAAATACAGGGATTTTATAGTAATAAAGAGACCTTGAGTTTACATAGTAACAGTATGTTGAACAGCCAATCAGGATCTCGTTATTTTAGTAACATAGCTTCTGACTAATCGCTGATTGGTTGGGGCTCTTTATGAGCCTCTGGAGGCTCTGTTAGAGTTCTCTGTAAGCCGACTCAACACAACCTTAAAACTACATATTAAGCAAATGTGAACAGATAAGGAAATCTCACTATGTGGCACATCTACAGGTAGGGATCGTCTAATAGTACCAAAACGTTATCGACGCGACGTCTTCAATATGTTGCACAATCTTTCTCACCCAGGTGTTCACGCGTACATCAAGCTCATAGCAGAACGGGTTTGCTGTCCTGGTATGAATAAAGAGGTGAGGGAGTGGGCACGCTCCTGTGTAAGCTGTCAGAAATCTAAGGTCATAAGACACAACAAATGTCCCTTAGGCTCTTTCGAAACCCCTGTGGCCCGCGCTTTCGTCTAACGATGGGTAGCTAATTTCGGCTGCCCTTCAACCATCACTACAGACCGCGGACGCCAGTTCGAATCTGGACTTTTCCGTTGCCTGACCTCATTATTAAGAATCACGCTCTTCCGAACGACCGCCTACCATCCACAAGCAAATGGGTTGGTAGAACGTTTTCATAGACAACTTAAAGCTTCATTATCAGCCGCAAACGTTTCACAGTGGACAGACACTCTTCCACTCGTCTTGCTAGGTATCCGCAATGCAGTGAAAGCTGACATTGGATATACTGCATCTCAACTCGTTTACGGAACGACACTCCGACTCCCAGGAGAATTCGTGGATCCTTCAGCTTCTTCATTGAACATGGATCTAAACTCCTACACGAGTAGGGTTACAAACGCTATGCATTCAGTTAAACCTGCTCACATTCGACCTCAATCAACTGATGTTTTCGTTCAACCTGATTTAGGACATAGTATGCATGTGTTTGTTCGTCGAAACTAACATCGACGACCTCTCGAATCAGCATACGTAGGACCCTTCAAAGTTCTTCAACGCGAACCCAAGTACTATGCAGTCGATAAAAACGGCATGAACGATAGCATCAGTATCGATCGCTTAAAACCAGCGTGTTCGACATTGGATGCTGACCACATTAGTTTAAGTGGACTTGTTTAACTGAGGGCGTTCGGTCATGCATCCGCATCAGTTCACGTCACGACTCATCTTGGGAAAAAGCTCTTACGTTCACTAGCCAGATTAGAGCAACCGCTTCTCGATATATTGATAAGACATCAAATTTATCTTTCCTACCTCTTTGCATCCGACTTCTGATTTTAATCAAGTGGGGGATGATTCGAATATAGGTGTTACTGGTTAATAGTTGTCAAACTAGTATACTGGTCGTATCTTAACGTTGCTAAAGTTTCACAAACAACGGAGGAAATTGAAGA